CATACAGATTTCCAATGGGAACAGAATACGCCACATACTTTGCTGCAATACTTGGTCCGGCGGCAGCGTCTGCACTTAGCAAATTGGCGTGTGAATTCTTCCCACTTGCCACATTTGTAGTTGGCACATTGCCGAATCCCTCCTCGAGCGTCATCTTTCCGGCAGAGATTGCGCATAACCACACACGCCCAGTATTGCATGTCCTTCGAATGATGACGGACAGTAAACTTCTCAACGAGAGGGAAGATATTGTAGTCATCGGGTTGCAGAAACTCCTCGTCTTCGTCTTCGGTGGGTTCCGGGAGTGGTGGACAGCCTCGAACAGGCCCATAAATCTTCTCGACTTCTCGGTCGATCCTAAGTCTTGGGACCAGATGAGTCTGTTGGAAGTAGTGGCGGAGATAGCAGTATTTCGATATATAGGCCAATAACTGCAGCCCCATCAGGACGTCCTCATCGCGTGGCATGAGAGCTGTTGTTGAGGCAGTGGCAGTGGCATTTCGCAGGAAAAAGTTGGGGTAGGCATTGAGTGGTATAGCAGGGGAAGCCGCAGTGGCCGGCGGAGGGGGAATGGGCGAAATGCCCAACGTGTCGTGGATCGTGCCGCCCAAGGGATTGCCCATGCCACCTGTGATTGGTGTTTGTTGAGCAATATCGACATCGTCAATATCTCGAGTTTGCGGTGGAGGAATGGCTAAAGTCAAGGGCTGGCGTCCATCCATCTCATTAGGACTCGGATCACGCGTCTGATCCCTGCTTCGACCTTCAGGAGCACCCTCGGGGTCGAGCAGTTCATCGTCGGCTCCAGCCACATCTTCCATGCTCATATCATCATTGTCGCCGGTCGAGTTCTGATGACGAATCGAGGGTCTCCTTAGCCGGCGCCCGACTGGAGACAAGAGTCCGCGGTGGAGAGGTGCAGATGGTGTGGTTGGCGAATCGGGATGCGAGGTAACCCCTGTGTTGAGAGGCGGCAGCATGGAGGGTAGTCTGTCTACCTCGCGGACCGGGCGCAGTGAGAACCCGTCTGAAGTGTCCATAGAGGGGACTGCGGTAGCTGGAGGCTGTAAGGCCAGAGAGCCATGGTTTGAACCTCTGCTCTCGCGGCCCCGGCTGTGGTGGTGGTGATGGTGCAACTCGCGGCGCGGGAAGACAGTCCGTTCCGGAGGCGAGGTAAGAACGCTGGGTGGCAGCACGCCGCCGTCGGGCGGGCCTGTTTCTGCGCCGCCAAAGCCTTGAGAGAAGGATTGAGGAAGCTCAAGCGACGGTGGTGGAGCTTGACGACGGGAGCGGTTGTCTGCAGCGGCGTGCAAATGTTCGAAGAAGGAAGTCCTCGCGGCCGAGTCATGAGTCAAGTCTCTCGATAACTTGGACGATCTGGAGCTCCCGGAGTGTTTCGAACCATTGCGCTTCTCCTGCTCAGCATCGGCCTTGGCCTTTTCCATTTCGATCACCAAGATATAGTCCCACAGGATGGTCGCAATGACAGGCACCATGTCGGCCTCGACGACACGCGTCCGGACGTTCTCTGACCCTCGTACTCCGATATTGACAATGCATTGAAAAGCGAGATTCCATTTCCACATGTGCATTTCATCCTTGCTCCTTCCCTCCTTCAGTATGCAGACGAGACGCTCGACACCGCCATCGACAGTAAGGATATCGCGGATACGCGCAGAGGAGGTGGTTAGGTAGGCCAGATGGTTGAGCGAGTTGATAAGGGGCAGTGTTGAAGTGCAGTCCAAAGCTCGTCGGTCATACAGGGTTGTGGTGATATGGACTGACGCCTTGTTGACATTGGGGATGCTGAAATTGACCTCTCTCATGTTGTGCAATGCCTCTTTACCATGCGAAGGGCCAAAGAATGAGGTTGGACTGTGCAGTCAAGCAGGGTTTTGTTTCCAATCCACAACGGTAGCAAAGATGCAGCAAAGTTTCTTGTTGGATTATGATGGGGCCACAAATTGCCACCAAAGGGGTTCTCGTCCTCGAGCGAAACCTTCACCAGCTAGCTTATGCAAAGTAACAAGGAACCAACAGCCATCAAGCGTCCGACTCGCACGGAAAGGGTCGAGTTGGGAGGGACGGCTGGGCGTGAAGTGCGAGAGGTCGGTGGGAGGTCGGGGGGGAGGAGTCGGCGCCTACAACTGTAGACGTTCGGAGGGCCACAGGTAGCTGACTATCGAGGTGTCGCAGAATCAGGTCGAAGAACGAATACAGAGTAGAGGTAGATTTGTAAAGAGTGTGGCGGTTGGAGTCGAGGACGCGGAGTTCCCAGACGGAGGCGGAGGTGCTGAGGCGAGGCAACGACTTAGGCAGGTCTCGAGGATTTCCGCTGCCCTAACTTTAGGGATGGTTGGCCCCAGCTGCGGCGGATCAAATCAAGCAGGCTGGAGAGAGGGACTCGACACGCGAACCACAAGAGTAGACAGATGTGAAGGATGGCAGTTCGATGATGAAAGAGAGGACAGGATGATGGAAGAGGAAGAGGCAGGTGCCGTGCGTGCAGCCAGCGCCGTGGCAGAGGCAGCATTGAACTAGCGTCGTTGAACCCTTTAATTCTGCTGCACGAGAACATGGCCAGTTGCGCTGGCTGGGATCTCGCTGCTCTTGGTTCGCTTCCTTTCTACCCAAGCTCAACTCTAGCGATACCACGGCGCTGGGACATGACTTTCGCGACTATGGAACCGTCAAGTCTGCGTGTCTACTCAGTACTGTGATTGCAGCTTCACCACACGAACACCAGCTGGGCCAGCAAACCCTTTGAAACCGTGCCCTGTCCTGCTGATAGGCTCTGCCACCGCTACCACCTGGGCCTTTGCTTGGTCTCCACCGGTGCAATTTTGCAGACAGCCCTATCTGCACCCTCGTCGACCCTGCTCCGGCGTCGCACCTTCGCAGACCGGCAGGCAGGGACCGTCAGCATAACTATCATTCCGATGCGTCTCGCCCGATCTCAGTGCATCGTTAAGATTGCAGCGCGCGACGAGCTTGAGTTCCGGGCTTGAAGGTCTCTCACACCCTAGGAGCGCCCAAAGATAGTCGCGTAATTAGTCAGACAGCCACTTGCACTAAAGGCTTCAAGTCTGAGCAGCGAGAGGACTGCTTGGGTCTGTTGTTATTCTCCGTGCACCAGCCACCGCCGCGTCAGTTCTTTGTTCGCATTCAACGCTGCTTGTTGACGATCTCGTGCGCTCGTGGCAAATCAGCAGAAGCTCGCCTTGTGACGAAATTCGCCGTGGGAGTCTGGGCCGGAACCCGACTGGTCTCGCCCATTTAACGTTGTGGAAGCATCCGCGGAGGCTCTGGAGGGGCATGGCATCCAGGCCTCCAGGCATCTCAGGCGTGCCCGCAGGCCCACAAGTGGTTGCCCTTGAGTCTCTGGCCTCCCTACCTACATCGGTACCTAAGTAGGTACCTACTGCAATCCACCGACGCTGCTTGACGTATCCTGTGCAACGAGCATAGCAATCCACGACATGTTGCAAGAAGTCAACAGCCTCGACGACTCCGTCCTAACCTGACCTCCCGAACCCGTTTATCCCCAAAGTTGCTATTTTTGCCCGCTTGCGCATGCCAGCACGGCCCCGGTGTTTCAAAGCGCCTACTCGGCCAATGGCGAAAATACCCTGCTGCTGAGAATCGCTTGTCCGCAGATCTTGTCCAGTTCTCCTCCCAGTCTGCTTGTCGAGGCAGACAACCACGACACTTCCTCCTCATGACTGTTCGCTCATTGCTGCTGGGTCATGCAGAAACGACGAGGGATTTGCTATTTTCAGTGCAACTTCCCGTGCTGTTGTTCGTGTTGCTGTTCGCCCCATCATGTATGTTTAAGGGATGAGAGCCCATGTAAAAGCGCTTCGCCGACATATCATCGTTGCAACCAGATATGATTCCATGCAGAGTGGTCGAACTGGATGCGAATTGTATCCTTGCTCGACATCAATGCAGACGAGTAAGTGTGCAGCTCCACGGTGATCCCGTTTCTCCGTTCCCCCATCCGTGTGTCCGAAGAAGAGTCAAATGAACTCGGTAGAGCCATAGGGGTCCGGACAAGTTTGCTCGTATCGCGATTGTGGTTTCTGCGGAATACTCCAGCACGGCTGTCAGGCTACAGCTCAACTGAGCCGAATTGGTTCCCGGCCACCGGAAGACACCATGCAGCCGCCCATCTTGGGAAGAAAGGGTCTTCTTTCGTATGGAAGGAGAGACAGGAGGGTCGTGAGAGACAGCTTCTATACACAGACTGAAGATTCGACAGCACCATAGGGCTCACTGCTTTGGGCTCTCGTGGTCGAGCCACGTCTTCCTTTCCTAGTCGATGCCTCCTTGATATGCCGTTCCAATGAGCCTTTTTGCCGAGTCCTGCAGCTTAGATGATGTGCCATCGTCGGCGAGGTATCCTGCTTCTCATGAGAACATCTCAGCGCGCCAAGTCAATGCATCGCTCCGTGCCTGGTCGACTGCACCACTCGACCTATCTTCGTCTTCAATTACGCGGCCGCATGTGGAGCCGGCGGACTTCGCAGGCGTCCGCAAGGCTGCAGGTGGAGGGCGCGACAACAATCACCTAGGCTCGAAAGGGACCGCGCTGTAGAAATACTGCGGCCTGTGGTTCACCTTGACGACCAGCTCTCTCGGTTCACTTGTTTCACGAGGTCGATGTCGACACATTTACATAATGCTACAAATCAGTGCGGCCGCCTTCGAGGTGAATTCAGCCTTGCCATTGGCGGACTCCTACCGGCGGTCGAGGTGCTTTCCAGAATCGGATGTGCAATTCACGTCGATATGCTTCATTCGAAGAAAAAGAATCCAGAAGTCCGCATTCATTTTGATGTTGCAGGTGTGACGTCTTGTTGGGAGCGTGGCTCGGTGGGTATAAAGGCGACGGAGGATGTCAGGGGAGAGTGGACATTTCTCATTGTAAACACCTTCTTGGAAAGAAAATACCGAAGGGCTCAGAGCAGGTTTAAATACTCCGCAACCGACAATTTGATATGGCCCAACCACGCGTATTGCTGACTGGAGGGAATGGCTTCATTGGCAGCCATATCTTGTCCTTCTTCCTTGAGAAATCTATCTTCGTCCAGGCCGTCGTGCGATCCGAAACAAAAGCACACAAAGTCAGGCAAGACTTTCCTGCCTTCGACAAGACCCAGCTCGACCTCTCAATTGTGCCGGACATTACAGCTCCGGGCGCGTTCGATCAATGCATCAAGGATGCTCAACCCCTCGATGCAATCATACACGCAGCTTCGCCCTTTGACTTTTCCACAGCCAAGACCATTTCCGACTTTATCGAGCCTGCCGTCCGGGGCACCACCGAAATTCTGGAGTCGGCAGCGAAACATGCGCCGGGGTTGAAAAGATTGGTCATCACGAGCAGCTTTGCGGCAATTGGAAATCCGTTAGATCTCCAGGGCAACGGCAGGGTATATTCTTCTGATGTCTGGAATCCCGTGACGAAGGAGCAAGCCCCGACGTTGAATCTGAGGTTTGGGTACTGGGCAAGCAAGACATTCGCGGAACAAGCAGCTTGGGAGTTCATGAAGACGCACAAGCCGAGCTTCGAGCTCGTCGTCCTCAATCCGCCCCTGGTATATGGGCCTCTGAGGCACAGTATTGACTCGATGAGTGACCTGAACACCTCGAACGCACCGATGTGGAAGCTCATGACATCGGAGAAGACGGCGCAGGTGCCGGAGGACACGTTGCACATCAGCGTCGACGTTCGGGTAAGCTAGTCTTTGCAGATCGAGCCACGGTTTCCACTCACTCACATCTTTGCGGCAGGACCTTGCATTCGCGCACTATCAAGCTGCGTTTGCTCCCGGGGTGGGTAATCGACGGTACCTTGTCACACCGGGCAGTCACAGGAACCAAGAAATCTGCGACATCTTGAGGGGGAATTTTCCAGAGCTGGATCAGAAGATTCCCCTGGGTCAGCCTGGCGAGCATTCTCTACCTGAAGGGTTCTTCAAGATCGATAATCGCGCATCTCAAGAGATATTGGGCGTAACCTATCGGCCATTTGCAGTGACAGTCGCGGATACGGCGAGAAGCTTGTTAGAGGTGGAAAAGAAGTTGAGCGCAAAGGCATGAATTCACCATGCTGGCTGGCTGCATGATGCACTCCGGGCCGTGATGAAGGGGAGAGTCGCGACATAGGTTACATATAGACCATAATGTACATGTTATCATCCGTGCTTTGTGGTCTATGGGAGGGTGATTCTCCCTCGACTGCTGAAAGCAAGAGCCCCCCATCCAGCAATCAGACACAAGCCGCCGATGGGAGTCACCGGACCCAGAGCCTTGAATCGTTGGGGATCTAGGACGAGAAGGTAGATGCTGCCGCTGAACATGGTCATCCCGGCGGTGAAAAGTGCTGCTGCGACTTTGTTCTTGGGCGCTATCGATGCCGAGAGGAGTAGTACGCCACTATGAATCAACTGTGGTCCAAGAACGGAGACGTCAGATGCGATTCAGTCTACGCTTTGGACATGTTTACCTGATATTGGGCCGCTGTAGACCAATTTGCGAGTCTTGCAGGATCTGAGATGTGCTTCTTCAGCCCGTGAGCTCCGAAAGCGCCGAGCATCACGGAAGAAGCACCATAGATGCAGCCTATCGTCCAGAACATTTTGAGCCGTCAGGTTTGGTGGGACGGGTTCGAAAGAGGTCACGGTTTTCTGCACTTGCTGTTGATTGACGCTGACGCCGGCCATGAAAAGAAGCGACAAGTACGAAATGCTTGTGGTGTTTGCGGAGTTTGTCTTCGCAGCCACGAATACGGTGGACCACGTACAGCCACTTGTGAAGAATCCACTTGTGTCCTGTGCTCGAGAGCAACAACAACAATGCACTTTCGGCCGAAAGAAATTTGGGTTGCACAATCTCTCCTGGACACCCGGTGGAAACCCTAGAATTGAAATGTTCGGTGATGTTCTCGAAGAGAAATCCTCCGTGATAGATAGCATGGAAAGAAGACCATGTGGTTTCGCTATAAGGTTGCTGCCACGCTCAAGATATCGAACCTTGCCGGCCATCAGCTGCTGGAAAGGACATGAAATTGGTTGCAACTCCGTATATCGAGGAGATTAGCGATTCCACGTGTGGTTCGCAGTAAAATGGAAATGATCAGCGGCTGATGACCCTCCTGGCTCGACACTGCCGATCAACCGTTGTTCCGTCCTCTACAGACTGCCGTGTCTGCGGCATCACCAGCGCTGGCTGGTCGCCCATGGGCTGTGATGTTCCTCGAGTAGAGGTTATGCGGCGAACAGGCTGCCAGCGATCGACCGGGTACCTCTGCAAAGGTCGAGCAGCACATCCGGGCGCAGCCACCGATAAGGTTGCGGGGGATGAATTGCCTGTGCGCAAGTGGGAGGATAGGGACCCAGTAGGCAAGCCCCTCAATGGAGACGGCGCTGGAGAAAAAGGAATGGGTTTGACAGGCGCACCCCTTTCTGCAGCGCGGATATGAAATGCACGCGGCCGGAAGCTGCAGACGGGGCTCGGGCGTACAGTCAGTAGCAGCCAGGCTTGTGTCTGCGAGGAGTCACCGTCTTAGACGCGACCGGCCAATTTCTCTTGCAGCGCGACTTGTTCTCGCTTCGCAACCCTGCGCTGAACTGAAGTCGGCTTTCTACGCCTCTGATTGGCACCTCGAGTGCTTGGGCAGGCCCGGCGCGCCTCGTTTGGCCTTGAAGAGCCACTCGGCTCTCGACCCCCGGCAGGCCTGCGGTTCAGCCATCACATCCTTGGGACGCGGTGAGAGAACGAAGGTTGCGCCAGCGACTAGCCCAGCCGAGGGCAGTATCGTGCGCGAATGTCTGCTTGACGACGAATTTCGGGATCAACTGCAGACACATTCCCTATTTTGGGAGCGATTCTGTACTGTTTCCTGAGAGCTGCACCCTTCACCATGAACCAAACCTAGTTCACGACGGTGCTGGCCCCGCGGTGCATACCGTGACAGCGAAGATCACAACTGTAGACCCCGACCCGTCCACCCAGCTGATCAAGGTTGGGTGGTGGTTTGGCCGGCCAGTGAGGTGGGAGAGGGAAAAGTCTTGCTTGTGTCCTTTGTCACTGGCAGCTCGTAACCGTCCTGGGTCCCGTCCTAGGGCCTCTCAACCCCTTCTGGGACATTTAGTTAAAGGCGCAGGACAGGGGAGCACCCAGACCAACCCGCTTCGTTAAACAAGTTTGAGTGGAGTGGGACCCAGACACCAAGAGTTCACAGACCAGCGACCCAGAACCGGACCTCTTCCTCGATTCTGTGCCCCCGACCTCACCACCAACCCGACCCTCAGTTGTCCTGACCTCCAGACTGCCGTTGCCTTTCCTCGACCCAGCAGTTCTCTCTCACCTCTACGATCCATCCGAGGGAACTCGTCCTCACCTTCCCGCTCGTCTCCTCTGCAACTTCCCGCGACTCGGAACTCCCATTGAAGCTTTGTGGCACCCCCGGCAATTATCCACCCTATCCCTGATACCGGGCTCGTTTGAGCTCCTGCGCCCCCATCATCGCCCACCTGGTCCCGACATCAAGGACTCACTTCTTCCTTTGTGCGCGTCGCCTTGAACGGCCCCATCCGTCGCAGCTGGAGTTGTTGCGAGCTTCATCGTGTCTTGGTCCGGAAAGGACCTCAGCCCGGCACCATGTCGAACGACTTGACGGGAGAGCAAATGCAGGCCAAGATCACGGCTGCGAGAAGAGAAGCAGAAGGTCTGAAGGACAGAATCAAGCGCAAGAAGGATGATTTGGCAGACACCAGCTGTAAGTCGCGAGACACCTCGTGTCGCAGTCATTGCAGCCCTCGCCGCCGCCAGCGGATTGCTAATCAAGATGCCTCCGTCCAGTGCGACAAGTCGCCCTCAACAACACCGAAGCCTTGCCGCGGATAGGCATGAAGCCTCGACGAAATCTCAAAGGCCATCTCGCCAAAATCTACGCCATGCATTGGTCGACCGATCGCCGGCATTTGGTCTCGGCCTCTCAAGACGGCAAGCTCATTATCTGGGATGCCTATACCACCAACAAAGTCCATGCCATTCCCCTGCGCTCGTCGTGGGTCATGACCTGCGCCTACGCTCCCAGCGGCAACTATGTCGCCTGCGGTGGTCTTGACAACATTTGCTCAATCTACAATCTTTCCACCCGGGAAGGTCCCACGCGCGTTGCCCGCGAATTGTCAGGTCATTCCGGCTACCTGTCGTGCTGTCGCTTTGTTAATGACAGAAAAATCATCACTTCATCTGGCGACATGACCTGTATGATGTGGGATATCGAGACGGGCTCCAAAGTGACCGAATTTGCAGATCACTTGGGCGACGTGATGAGCATCAGCATCAACCCGACCAATGCAAATATTTTTGTCAGCGGTGCCTGCGACGCCTTTGCCAAGTTATGGGATGTGCGAACCGGAAAGGCGGTCCAAACATTTGCGGGACATGAGTCTGACATAAACGCCATTCAATTCTTCCCGGATGGAAACGCCTTTGGAACCGGTTCTGATGACGCTTCGTGCAAGCTTTTCGACATCAGAGCAGACCGGGAGCTGATGTCGTATCAGGTGAGTTCGGGTCCACACCTCGAATACAGGGTTCGCGCTGACAATGTGCTCAGAATGAACAAGTCCTCTGCGGCATCACGTCTGTCGCTTTCTCGGTTTCCGGCCGACTGCTCTTCGCCGGTTATGATGACTTCGAATGCAAGGTCCGTATTCAGCCGCCTGACTTTTCGATTCGATACTGATGTTGATTTTCCAGGTCTGGGACACGCTACGTGGCGATAAAGTCGGTTCCTTGAACGGCCACGAGAACCGTGTCAGCTGCCTCGGTGTTAGCAACGATGGGATCAGCTTATGTACTGGATCCTGGGATTCTCTGGTAAGTCGCAATTTGCAGATGGTGCGCAATTCAACCATGCTAACGAGCTCGTTTCTCAGCTCAAGATCTGGGCTTGGTAATCTGGCGCCGGGGAGGTTATATTCTGTCACATCAGTGAGAGCTAGCTCCGTGCTATCCTCAACTTGGCGGGCACCCATCATCATCATCAAAAACAAAGTCGCTGTACCAGGAAGCTCCCATCGTCAGCTTTCGACGATTTCCATGTGCTTGGTCATTGCCCTGGACCCATGACGGGGCCTGAAGACCATTACTGTGCTTTTACACCCCGGGAAAACCTTTGACTGGATAAACGCCTTTGCGAGTGGGATGTTCGAGGGACAGGCGAAGCTATGGCTACGGACGGATGGTCTATTATTCTTGCCCTCACAGGTTCGCTTGCAGCAAGCGGGGAGAGACACGGCGCGCTCTGTTTGAAAGTCCACGACTGTCATGACTACCGGTACCGGGATGCGGGCGGAGATCGTTTTTTGTTCCATGTGCTCTGCTGTCCGCACATTGAGCCTGCCCTATCCCCCATCCTTTTCTTCCAGCGGAAAAAAAAAAGGCGATTGCCAAAATCGACACTTGTTCCGAGTCCTTCGCAAGAGCAGCAGAGCAGCAGCGGCGGCAGCACCTTTATTTTTACCGAATAGCGGTGTCACGAGCTCCGCAGACAGAAGAAAGACCAAAAGTTGAAGATTCGACATTCCAAATTACCAGGTACTTTTTGATTGTGCTCTTCGTTTTTGTGGGGATTTGCTTTTTCTTTCTGCCTTTGCTCTGCTTTGCTTCTGCCTTTCCGTCCTCCGTACAGAGTGCAGTAGAACCCCATGGCCAACGATAGCAGACCCGACGGAACGAAGAGAGCACTACATGGCTAGTATGTAGTATGTCCTCGTCCTCGCGCAGTGCGGACTACGGACCACACAGGACGAGAGTAAAGCGCACTTGTACGGAGTACTGTACTGTAGATGGTACGGAGTACTCGTAGGCTAATGAGCGAGCCACGGAGCCTGACCTGCCTGCCTTCCCTGGCCTCGACGTCTCTTTGAATTGTGCCGGGAAGGGGATTGACCGAGTCCGTTCGTGACAGTGCAGTACAGTGTAGTACAGTACAGTACGGAGTACAGTATGAGTACCTACTTATAGGTACCTAGGTAGGTAGGTAGGTAAGTAGGTAGAAGAGAATAAGGTAAGGTACTCCGTATCACGCCTACTTGTACCTAGGTAGGTATACTAAATGTACACATTGAGACAGCGAGGACGTAGGTACCTCGGTAGGTAGGCAAAGAGTGCAATACGTAGAATAGAATAGTCTTTGTACTGTCTACCGTGCACTGTCGTGGACTGTGTACAGGATATTTCTTCAGAAGACAGCCGATCAAGATGCTACTATATGAAAATGCGACACTTCGACACCTTGTGACAACTAGCTCCGCCTACTCGTACAGTACTTGTACTTGTACTCACGCAGGAACGAGTGCCTTGACGTGGAGTACGTAGTACCCATCTTTGTCTTGTACAGTTCTGTGTACGGAGTGCCTGAAGTGCCTGGTTAGTTTTGTCTCAGACGCCTTACGGAGATACTGTACTCGAATCGTGACGCACTATGGCGTTCTGCAAAGGTACAGTAGAAGCGTGAAACTAGAGTGTCCCTCCCGACGTACACAGTACCATCGGCGTATCATTTTTGTGTCTAGACGATCTTCATAATCTGGTCTGAAGCACTACCAGTACGAGAGCACAGCAACCTATTCATTTCGTGGATGGTAGGGAAGCATGGCTGAGATACACGACATCCTACTGTAGTGGACATACGGCGTCCTGGAGGAACTGTACGCCAAGCAGCACACTTCTGTATCTTGTGGTCAATTTGGTCTTCTTTGATAACGTCTTAAGGTCTGTCTGTACGCTCCATGCTAGCTGTGCCGCTTTTGCGCCAATCAAACCCGGTTCCAACGCGCAGAACAAAATACAAACCCAACCCAAACCAACAGCCCTGGGACATGAAAACCGAAGAAAAAGACAAACGACCTCTGTTTCTGTCGGACCTGCAGTTGGACATGGGTGCCCCTCTTCACCATCCCAACTGTGTCTGGTAGAACGGTGGGCGGTTTCCACACCTTTCTCTCCAGCATCGTCTGCCAAGTGGAGCGTCCGTCAGATTCGTAACAGTGGAGTGCTGCTTTGTAGAGTTGTCACACCGGACTTGTCTAGATCAGAGCATCCACCGCAACAGCCAGACTCGCCATTGCACTTCCTTCTCCTAACAAGCGCAACCATCCCTCTCCTGATCCAGATTGATATTGATTGGATCTGAAAAGTCGCCACCATACTCCTCGCTTTCTTCCTGCGCGAGGGCATTTCTGGCAATCACCTCAAACGCTTGCTCCACATTGATGCTTTCCTTGGCACTGGTCTCAAAATACGGCATCTGCCCCCGACTCTGACAATACTGCTGCGCTCGCTTCTGGCTGACCATCCTCCGATCCTCGCCCATGTCGATCTTGTTGCCCAGCACTACGAACGGAAAACTCTCCGGGTCGCGCGGGCTGGCTTGGATGAGGAATTCATCACGCCAGCTGTCTAGGGTTTCGAAGGACTTTGTGCTGTTCACGTCGTAGACCAGCACGCAGCAGTCTGCGCCACGGTAGAAGGCCACGCCGAGCGATTGGAAGCGCTCCTGGCCGGCGGTGTCCCAGAGTTGGAGGGTCACGATGCGGTCATCGACAGTCACTTCTTTGGTCAGGAAGTCGGCGCCAATCGTGGCTTTGTAGGAGGTGGAGAATTTCTTGTTCACCTGGGAGGGACGTTAGGACGGTGGGCTCTATGGAGTGTGAGTGAGGCTGCTCGTACATATTGGTTCATCAAGCTGGTCTTGCCGACGCCGCTGTCGCCTAGGATGATCACCTGCGCAGCCCAGTTGTTAGCTGTATGGCGATTGCGATAAAGCTACGATTGGTGGTCAATTCGCACCTTCAGTAACACCTTCTTCCTCGACGCCATGGCTGGTGTAGTCTGTTCTTCTCCTCTTTCGCTGTCGAGCGGATGTTGCGAGATGCTCTTACAGGTGACACTCCCTTGCCTTCAGCTCGATTAGCCTGCGGCAGCGAGACTGGTGGAGTCTGTCCGGGAAGAGGTCACGCGCAGTGTGAAGCTTGTCAGAACAAATACAAGAACAGCAGACGGTGGCGATGGTTGATTGGCAAGTGAAACCAAGTGGCTTGCTCTCTGAGTACTGGGGCGTGGAACGGCAAGCTTGCCAGTCGTGCTGTTTGATGGGTGATAGATCTTGCGACACAGGATGCATCACCACAGACGTCAATCGAGTCAAGCCACTTTCCCGCTTCAGCCTCACCAACGATCGGGATGTCGGCAGGCAGCGGCCGACGGCAGAAGGAAGGTGAGCCGGGAGCCGGGTTTTGGCGCCTTGCTTGTTTGGGAGGCTTGTCCACATGTTCTCAAAGAGTCCAACACCCTCTGTACATGTTTCACGTTTTACCTTCGGCGGCGCACCTCGTCTGGGACGATTTTTATTTGCATGGAAAGCGTGGTACCACTGAAATGCAGATGACCAGTCTAGACCAGGCATGGCGACATGGAGAGAACAATACCTCGCTGCCTTGCAAGCCCGAGATCAGGTAGAGAAAGCCAACCTTGACCTCTACGACTACTGCACAAAATTGGCAGACGAGAGAGCCGAATTAGAAAAGAAGGTCAGATTGGCAGAGAGGTCCTCCACGTCAGAAGATCCTCCTGCTGTGCCTGAACCGGTGACGACCCCAGGATGGGGCATAAGAAGAGTCACTTCGCCAGCCACACGGCCTGAGTCGCCGAATTCAAGCGCCACGCAGCTGGTACAGTTAAGACAGGACTTGTCGAAAGCCCAAAGTGAGCGCGCAGACCTGCAGACGCGGCTGGACACCGCACTCCGCGACCTAGAGTCATTAAAAAGCAAAACCAAGGTGGACAACAAACGCATCACGCAACTCAGCGCTTCTGTCAACCAATTGACAATCAAAGTCCGTGACAGAGAGGAAGAACTCCGCGGCAAAGCGAAACTGATAGAGAATGTTCAAGACGAGAACGTCACACTGAACCTTCAGCTCAACATGGCGGAAGCGCAATCTGCAAAGCTGAAGAGGGAGAACCAAGAATTGGTGGATCGCTGGATGGCCCGCATGGGGAAAGAGGCCGACAGGATGAATGAGGAGGGCAGATTTGGCTGAGATGGCAGTGCGAAATGCTTGAAGCGCGTCTCGCATTTAGTGCCGCCGTGCCCGGTCAGAGTAAAGAGGCTGGATATTTCGTTCTTCATCTTCGACGGGCCACAGTGGTTGGGACGCTCCTGTTGCCGCTTGTCCGTCCCGTGCAAAGCCAATCAAGCCGGCGTTACCTGCCTCGCAGAATCGTCAGCAAAGCAGTCGACGCTCAATCTGTCAAGAAAAGCAAAATGAAGCACGTCCCCTGGCAGGTTAATGCCAGCAGCCGCGCCTGAATCGATGCCACGCACTCTTAACACATATCCGTAAGTCGACCATGAGCCCTAACCATACCCATCTCTACTATATAACAGGACTAACAATGCAGTCATGTTAGGCCTATATAGATTCAGGTGTATACTCAGCAGAGAGCGAAGCGTGTCGCATCGCATGCTAGAAAGTGGCAAATGTTGGCTTTGAACTCGTGTCAATGTCGGACTGCTAAAACCAGAGTCTGGAATGTCATTTCTATCCTAAAAGCCACAGAATGCTGCTGCCCCAGTACGGAGGTCTACAATAGGAGTGGCAACGCCGTGCGCTGTGCAGTCTCATCACTCATCCCATCACCTTCGCAATGCTGTTCACAAAAGTCCCAAAGCCCAGCACGAGTCATCAAAGATTCGATCAGCCGTCCGTACTACATCTTGTCGTCCTTAGTCACCTATCCGTTTCACCGTCAAGTCTGTTGGCGCCAGATTTTGTAGCGATCAGCACCTAACACTTCTCCCTTCCAGCGAGCCCCTCCATAAAAGCCTGTAACTCCCTGGAATCCTTGTGCTGATGATACCATTTGCCTGGATCATCGGTCCAGCTGACCATGGAACTCCACCGCTCCTTCTCCACCACCCGCAGCACGTTGATCGGGTCGTTGACATTCGCGGCCTTGATCTGGTGCGTCGGACTGCGGAACGGTTTGAGCGACACAATCTGACACCCTTCCTTCAGGTCGAGGAAGACGTATTTCAACTTGTCATTCAGCTCCGAGGTAAAAGCTTGGTTGTTGATCAGGATGACGTCGGCACGCTTCAGGACTTCGCGGATCTGTTTGTTCTCCAGGAAATCACCGTGCACGAGGTGGATGGCGCCAGGTTTGATACCCCAGAGACGGCACCGAGCCGGGAACTCTGCGGCCTGGAGTTGGGCAAGCGTGTCGCAATTCTTCATCACTTCGCAGCCCCATGATTCGCACCCTGTTTCCAATGCGGCTTGGAGGACGCAGTTGCCGACGCCGGAGCCGAGGTCGATGAAAACTTGATCGGACTTGAGGTTGGCCTCCTTGAATATCTGACTCAGGAACTTGGGCAGGAGTTCGCCGTACACATTGTCCGAGAAGCCTTCGTATTGTCGCACGAGGTTGACCCGAGGCGACACCGTCCGAGCGTAGATCTGATTCTTGATGATGTGTTCCACCAATTTGAGATCGACCCGGCGCATCTGATCCAGTTTCTGGGCGATTGTGCCGTCCTTGCGCTTCTCCGCCACCAAAGCGTTGAACTTGTTGACCAAGTCGATGTACTTTGACTGAGCTCCCTGAGCGTTCGGGCGGCCTTTGAAACCCAGGAGAGCCTGATGGCGCAACTGCTGTACGATTCCGGAGCCGTACTCTTCGCTCGTGACCTTTTCGGCGGATGCGCTATCGAGATAGTATTCCGCCACGATTTTCATGTTCGCTTCGATCTCGTCCAACGGTTTGAAATCGGACTGATCATTGGGCCTAACCAACTGGTATCTTTCCGTCTGCAGTGAAGTAGGGTATTGTAGCTCGATAGTAGGGCACTCCTCCTCGTGTGTATTCAAGATTGTGAAAAAGGCCGCGTATTGGTCGTGGCCGTGCTCGACGAGACTGTTGTTCGCAATGTCGTAGGCGTGCACCATGTGGAAACCGCCATCCTCCTCTTGAGAAAATGCCTGCACATCTCTGACTTTGCGGTTCTGGTCGATACTGTCCGTGCCGTCGAGGCGGATGCGCTTCCGAGGCTGGGTGGCGTCGTCGTCAGTGTCCTCGTCGGAACTGGTCAACCTGGGCGTTGAGACGGCGGGAGAGGCTCGCTTATTCTGGTTCCGTCGCGCGTTCTTGATGCGCTCGATGGGCTCCCCGCTGCCCTGCCGTGACCGCACCGAGACGGGCGTACTTGATTTTCGAGGGATACTCGCGGTGCGGGAATGGCCGTTGCTGAGCCCCTTCTGCGAGGCCGACGTCGGCCTAGCGGAGCCTGCGGAGGGCGAGGATCGAGCGATTGGTTTGGGCGTCGAGGCAACCGTCACAATCTTGGTAGCGATCTTGAGGGGAGCCTTTTTGGCCTTCATGGCAGAGAACGACAAGGGTCGCCCTTCGGTAGGCAGAGATCCCATGATGAAGTGAGGGTGCGGCTGATAAAAACAACGTAGTCCAAATGCGTCAAGAAAAGAATGTATTATAGATTACGTTGACATGGTACGAGGCAAATAGCAAAGTGAAGATGAAATCCAGCCGCACTGCCTCTGCCTGTGGCACGAGACAAGTGGAGATGGAAGCGAGGGAAAAGAATGCGGAAGAGGCGAGCGAGCACTACTGGGTACTCCGTACTGGGTACTGTTAGTGAGGCGCCACGGCGTCCACGGTACCTTGCATTATGGCTCCTTGGCCTGCGTCATGCATGGCTCGTCAACTGAGTGGAATCGTGGGTGACTGTGATACAAAAGTACCTCGTACAGAGGCATCAAGACTCCGGGGACGAGCTGTTCCGCCTCGACTGTTTTGCATCATTCCACGACCTCTTGCGACCACCTCCTCTCCATCCACCGCCATGGTTCGACCGCTTGTGGCGATAGTCCCTGTCCGACCGATCACGATCGTCAATTCTATTCTGGGCCGAAGGCGGCGGGTGCGTCTCAACCCATTCCTCAAGCACCTTCGAGATTTTGGGCCCCCAGGTATCCTCTCCGGCTCCCAAGTCCTCCCACGTGAGTGCAGGCACAAATCCTTCTGGAGTGGGTTCAATGTTGGTGAATTGCCCTTGCTTGCTGCGGACCAAGGCCGCCATCGTCCCGTACGAGCCACAAGCAGTTCCAAGGTCGTAGGCGAATGAGCGAACATAGAAGCCACTACTGACGGTCAGGCGTATGCGGGCCGCCGGTGCATTTGCCGGCTGTTCCTCGAGTGTCCCAATGTCGTGAGTGTGCATTGCCGCCTTCTTGTCAGGAGGGAGATTGTTGGAATCCCGGAACTCTTTGTACCTCTCACTTGGAGGAGTCCGTGGCCTAGTAGGTTCTGCATCTTGACCCAGTAGCTTTTTGGTCGACTCTGCTCCGGCGATGAGCTTCTGCGCAACAGCCTTTTCCTCGTCGGTTGCTTGCTCAGCGGGCCATCTGTAATCATGCTCGCCAGGGGCATAGTAGTCAAGGAGCGTACACTCGGAGATCTCGATATCCCGGCTTTCCAGTTGTCGGGGCAGTTCCTTGCCACTTCTCGCATACTCGTACAGCTTCATACCTTGGACCTTGATAGCACTGTAAATGGGCGGAATCTGCTTCATCTTGCCTTTGAACTGAGTCAGCTTGTCTTCGACAACCTCTCGGGTGATGTTCTCGGTCGAAGCCTCCGCTACAACTTTGCCCATGATGTCGTACGTGTCGGTGTTTTTGCCAAAGAGAACCACCGTCTCGTAGGTCTTCTTACAGCCCAGAAAGTCGGGGAGAGATTTGGAGCCTCGGCCAATTCCGACGATCAAGACTCCTGTTGCCAAAGGGTCCAGGGTGCCGCCGTGACCCATCTTGAAGATCTGATCATCGCTCGTTCTTTTCCGACGTTTGGGCTGGTGACGCTCTTGCTCTTCTCTGGCTTTCTTGGTCTGCTCAAGTAATGGCGCAAACGTCTTAGACTCTGCAAACTTATGCTGGAGCTCGCGAAGAACCTGGGCCGAAGAGACGCTGGGCGGTTTGCTGACAGCTAAATGGACGACAGAAAGCCAGTTAGGGATCGGACGCGCAAACGGGAAATGTCTCGGGAGAGGAATCGGCCTCACCGAAGACGCCTTCGAGGAGTTTCCCCGATGGCTGTGCCATCCTGATAATCAAAGATGGCCTCATACACCAGTAGGATACGACAAATAGCTGCAGTCGGATGTAGGGACCCAGTTACGCGCACCTGGTACAGTTAAAGGAAGATGGAAAGACTCGAGCATCATAATGCGGCGGAGTAACGTCACGTGACCCGAAGATGCTTGCCTGTAGGCGCGACTTGTCTGCCTTCATCATCGTCCAGCCTCTCGTCTTATTACTCTGGCAGAATGACTCTGGTGTATTTCTTCTACGACTCACCCAAGCCCACGCCGTCACCATCTGTGGTTGACATAGAATTCTTTTCACGCTTACTTGGCACCGACAATCCCACATGAGCCCAGGGCATTGATGAGCATTTGCCCTGACGACGATAGTGAGCGCCATCTGCCAGGCCGCAGCATGAGCCTGCCACTTTTCTGCCTTCGGAAATGGGCACTCTGCCGGAAGAACGTGTTCTAAAACCTCTCGATCCTCCCCCGGACGATGTCAACGAATGGCCAGACTTTGCGCTACGAGAAGCAAAGATCTTCTACCAGGGCAAAGGCCGATATGCAGATCTGCTCCAGGCTTCGGACGAGACACCCTTGTGCGTTGTAGGCGAATTAATGCCATTAGACGACGAGCAGGAGCATCTAGCTTTAACAGAAGATCCCACACACGCAAGAATAAAGATAGACAATGTTACAAATTACAGTTTTGGACAAGATGACAACGGCAAGCCAGTCATCTGGGCTGCGGGAAAAGCAGGCTGGTACGAGATATCGCCCTCCGACCGCTACCTGAGTCACTATAACGATACGGTCGAAGCTATCGACCTCTTCTACTTTATGGTGGATCAGCACAAGAAGCTGCCACGGAAGCAACAGCGGTTCGGCTTCAAGATAGATCCCTTTCTCGCAGATTACCAGAAGCACACCGACTACAGGATTGACGACGACGACGAAGCCATGGAGACGATCCACAAGCACCACCGGTTTCTGCTCAGGCAGATGATAGAGGAGCGAGAAGAGATTGACTGGTCCCAAACATATCTTTGGAAGCACTTGGCCGAAACATATGCCGACGAGCTGGAAGAATTAAAAGTCACCCTAGCGCGTCTGAATCAGGCAGACCAACGTCTGGAGGAGTCGTCCGAGTCGTCCGAGTCATCATCAACGTCAACGTCATCGTCATCGTCGTCTGGAGAAGAGGAAGAGGGAGAGTCAGAGGAGCAGCATGCATTGCGGATCGATGCAACCAAAACATCAGATGACTCCGACGAAGACTCTAGTGAAGACGAATCCGCAGACGCTTCCGAAACAGCCAGCAGTGGTTTAGGGGACGACAAACCTGAGCCGATTGACTGGACCAGACCGATCTGGGACATGCTCAACATACTCCGTAAATCTGCCAACTTCAACATGCGTCACTGCGGCATCGACCAAGCCGCCTCAGAACTCGAAAAACTCCCCACGTTTCAAGGTAGCCATTCAGACGCAGTGGCGGCCTTCGAACGCTCAGCAGGACCGCTGCTGAAACTTATGAACGAGGCCAAATTGCGCAAGAAATTCAATTGGTCCACCCGGAGAATCTACGACGAATTGGAAGCCACGCTCGCGGACGAGGTGGCCGAGGAGACGATCAAGACGCCGGGTAAACCGGGGAACAGAGAGAAACAACGACATCGGATGAAGTCCGTGCTGCGGCCCAGTGGGGCCAGCAAGTCACACAAACGTGCTAGAGGCACGGTGGATGAGGATGAAGACGAAGAGATGGAGGACGTGGCGGTCTCGTCCCCCGTCGCTCGACGTCAAGGTGCTGCTGCGCTTTCCGCGAGGGTCAGGGAAGCCACGCTGGACTCGGAGGCGAGTCGCGAAGACAGTCCGAGTCGACAGCTCAACGGGCATTTCGACCCGTATGCATTGCCGGAGTTGCCGCCTGGGCCAGAGGCGCAAGAAATGCTCGACCTGGTGGCCCAAGAGGCCAAGCGAGTCGGTCGGCAGAACCAGACGGGCCATCTTAAGGAGTTCCTGGGCCAGTGGGTGGTCTAGTGTGTTATACTCGGAGCGTTGACGATGGCGTTGGGGACTGGACGGCCGAGTCCGAGATTCAAGATCCTGGCATGAAGGAAGGGAGGAAGGATGCATCTGTATGATTATGATACCCCCATGTGCTTTGATAGCGGTTTCGCCCTCTTGTCTGTGTGCTAGAAGAAGCAGAGGCGGAACCAATACTCCGTATATCTTCATCACTTCCATCCAATTCTCTCGCTGGGGATGGGCTCACCGGGCGGCCGACCTCCTGCTCTTGCCCGGTCTCTTCGCTTTCACCTTGCCTCCTTTTCCTTTCATCCTCGCCGCCGAGAAGCCACGCATGTCCGAACTGCTAGCGGCGTCACCGCTCTTCGAATGCCGCTTCTTGCCTCCAAATCCGTACTTTTGATCGCGCTTCTGCCTCTTCGCATTGAAACCGGGTCCCCGTTCGCGACCGGAGCGGTCCTTCGCGCCGGCCTTCTCGACGTCGACCGTCTGGAAGAGATCGTCGTCCACATTCCCCTCGGCGACTTTCCCGGTGTCGGCACCTCTCCGTTCTATGTCGTCACGTTAGCTAACAGCCAGTCACACATTCCCGCTAACTGCGCCATGCAGGGACACAATGCAACATTGGGGCAAGGGAAGGGAAGGGAAAGGGGTTCCAACGCACTCCTCTTCAACTCCTTGATCCTGTCCAGCGTGGTTTTCTTCTCCTTGGCCCGTTCCTGCTCTTTGGCGACTTGCACGGCCTTGCCGAACTTGCGGGCGTCGCGCAACTTCCGCGCCTCCTCCGCGGCCTTCTTGCCCGCTGCCTCGTCGTACATCTTCTGCTTGACCCGTCCCATGTGCTCGTCCGTTTTGACCATCTCGGCGAAATAGTCGGCCGGTCGGGAGAAGGGGATACCTTCGGACTCGAGGAGATCGCGGGCCGAGAGCACCGCCGTGCGGGCGATGCGGTAGAACTCGAGTTCGCGGGTCAGATCGTCGTTGGGGTCGGGTATGGATTCGCTCGCGGGTCCCAGGGAGGAGATGAGGGAATTATGGTGGTGGAAGGGTGTGGTTTTCGGATTCTTCACGACGGCGATGCGGGTCCTCGAGGCGACCAGCGCGGGACCGTTGTTGATGGTCATCTTTTGGTAGGGGATTGCGTCTTCGAGGTCGGAGTCGCCGAGGTCTGATACAGGGACGTCGGATTCGTCTTCTGCTTCAGACGCGGAGGCGGCCGCGTCGGCGGATTGGACAGGTTGTGGGATTGTGGTGCTGGCTTTGTCGTCCACAGCCGCATTCTCGTCTCCGTCAAAGTCGGCGAAGTCGTCCTTCTCTGTTGATGCGGCAGGCTGGTGCGTCTCCTCTGCCGTGTGTGATGCCTGTTCGTTGTTCTCTATCATATCGTCTTCGTTCTCAGCTCGCTGTGGAGTGTCTAGTTTCTGCCTCTTCCGTTTCTCGGCCGCTTTCACTTGTGCTTTTCTTTTCTCGGCCTGGTAGTCACGGCCCTGATGTGCGTCTAGCGCCGCGAGCAATTTGCTTTTCTTCGCCATCTTGCTGGATTCTGTCTCCAGCCGGCCGTGGTGGAGGGGTAGCCTTCTGTAGAAGGGAGAGGATATCTATCAATCGACCGCTTTTCGATCCTAAAAAAGTTGAAGAGTCGGGGAAAATTTCAGGTTGGAGTTTCCTCCGCAAAGAAGCTCGACGCCGATTGGCGGAGTGGCAGCGAAGGATTGTACGTCGGATCATACGAGCTGTGGATGCAGGGCTTGACTCGAGCCGCCAGCCTTGCCGCCAGCCTTGCCGCGGAGCGAATTATGAGGACTCTGCACGGAGTACTCGGTACTCATTCTCCGCACTCTCACTTGCAATTCAGCAACTCAGCAACTCCGTCACCCTCAATCCCTATCTCAAGCGTCTCTGCACAGGTGCAAAACAGCTTGATCTGGCTGGCCAGGCGACATGCATCTCAAGTGAAGAATCCGTGCGCCGTTATTTTCTTGGGGTTCTCACATTCCTTCTCCGCAACGAGTACGACGGGAGTACCAGTACCAGTGCCCGTATCATACGGTGGACGCGTTCTAGCCACGGTTGCCGACTGCCTCGCGCATCCGCATATACCAATACAAATACACCAACAAGACCGGTCAATAAAACAAACTATAATCATGGTAAGTCTAAGTCACAGACAATGTACCAATTTCAACAACAGACGTCCCCGGTGTGGGAGCGTCAGTGTCGCGACCATCCTCTCTTTTCCCCCTTCCACCTACGCAGTAGTAATTAGAGACGAGACGATGCCTAACGGGACATAATTCCAGTCGACACCTACCCCGCCACCCCTTCCCGGCGGATTCAACACCAGCCCGGCCCTCTCGGCGCATCACGCCAACACCACGCACGTCCCACCGCCGCCGCCGCCGGCGTCGTCAGAGACAGGCCAAGAAGCCACGACGAAGCTCGCCGAGGCGATTGACGACTTTCTGGGCGACTTGGAGAAGAAATTCAAGGGTATCAGTGACGAGATCCTCACCAAGCTGGACGATATGGCGGAGCGGTGTGATCGGTTGGAGCAGGAGATGTTGGTGAGAGAGACGAGCAGTCATGCGCTGGAGGGCGTCGGGTCCAAGGGCCCGGGCAGTCAGGCTGGGTCGGGGTGAGGTCCCGCTGCTGGGTGGATGGGGTGCTTGAGAGAGAGTCAAAAGTCCCGTCATTCGGCTAGGAGGATCTTCGCGTGGTGTCGTATGTGCGTGTGCGTGTGCGTTATCTAGTGGTGGCGTTCACCTTCGAGGAACTCGGCTTCGCTCGCTCGAAAGACAACGAAGCTCCCTACACATCATCGCGGCGGTGATTGTACAGCACAGCAGGGGAAGAATGAGGCCGCAGTCTGGGAGACACATGCTCACGATTAGGCAGCCGTCTGGCCAAATCGAGGCAGATGGAGAGGAAAGGAGGGGTGAGCAGAGACTCGGCCTCTGACAAAGGCAGATAAAAGGGGGGGTGGCGAGAGCAGCACAAACCTTAACATGTGTAGTCAAGCCGATATCAGCTCTACATTCGACTTGCAGAGAGCTACAGGGAAAGGGGAAGAGGACACCCGCACGAAGTACAAAGTACGATACCAGCAAGGCGAGGGGCACAGTGAACATGACAAGATCTTTGGAACTCATGATGATACCTGATACCTACCTACTTAAGCCAATGTGCAGAATTCAGTACCAGCAGAGTAACTCCTTCCTTCCCGCCAGGCCTTTTTTGGCGCCAAATCTCGGTTGCTCGTAGCCATCGTAGCTTACAATTCGCTCTTCTCCTCAGGCTCCTTGACCAAGAACTTGGCAAGGATGTTGCTTCTCTTCTGCAAGTCGTCGATCTTTTCTGGCGCGAGACCGCCCTTCTTCAATATACCAGCCAGTCGGGTCTGCTCCTTCATGGCGTACTCGGGGTTTCCCGTCAACTTGGACACCGCACGGAGGTAGTAGTCGACGGATGAGTTCTTGAGATCCTTGGCCAGGTTTTTGATCTCGGCCGCTAGATTCTCCGCGTCCTTGAGACCGTTCGCGGTGACGTACTTTGAGAGAAGCGAGTCGATGACCTCGATCGTCCCGGCTTGCGAGTTCAACGTCCCGCCGGGCGCTCTGAACGTGCCGGCCTTGGAGTTGACGAATTCGACGAGGGCCTCTTCGCTTCTCGCCCCGCTGTACGATTCCGCCTCCTTGGAGCCCTTGGGGAAGAACTTGATGGTCGGGTAGCCGGTGATGCCTTGGTCCTGGGCCGTGGCCTTTGCGTTCTCTGCTTCGGCATCGACCTTGGCGATCAGGACGCCGGGCTCGCTGGCGAAATCGGCGGCGACCTTCTCCCATGTAGGAGCGAGGGATTTGCAGTCTGAAATCGGTCGAGGAGATAGGTTAGCACACGTGTCGCCCATTCTACATGTGTGGGGGAAATTCAACTTACGACCACACCACGGGGCGGTGAATGCGACGAGCACGTCCTTGTCGCCGCCGATCTCGGTCTTGAAGCTCGAGTCCGTCAACATCTCCACGTGGCTCGGCGCCTTCTTGGGGCCCTTCGCCTTCACGCCACTCTTCTCGCTCACGAATGCCGTCAGACTCTCCAGGTCCCGGCCGCCATTGTAGTCTTCCGGCTCGGACCCGGGCTTGCCGTCAAACCACTTCAGCGTCGGAAATCCCTGCACACCAAATCTCTTGCCTAGGTCTTTGTGCTTGTCGGCGTCGACATTCGCAATCGTGACTTTGTTGCCCGAGGCCGCGAACGCGGTGGCCAGTTCTTCATAGACGGGAGCGAGATTCTTGCAGTGGCCACACCACGGGGCGAAGAACTCGACCAGGGCGGGCTTGCCCGACTCGAAGACGACTGTGTCAAAGTTGGATGGGATCAGGTTGACCACATCAGAGGCGGAGGCGAGGAGGGGCAGCGTGAGGGTTACGAACGGGAGGAACGAGCGTAGTTGCACCATGGTGGCGCTCAGTTGCGTATGTTGGGGGAGCTGGGCGCCCTCAAGAACTTCGACTGAGTGTCTCGGTATGTAGTAGGGGGGAATGGGCAAGTTCAACAGGGACGAGATGAAGTGAGAGTGAACTGAAGTGAAGTCAATAGTCAATCACTACTCAGATATATTCTTTGGTGGCGCCGCTTTTGTTGCCCTGACACAATCACCAGCATGTGGATTTCCAAGCAAAAGGCCCTGAAATGTATGATCGACGCCGAGGACAAGGACAAGGACACCTTGCCTCAACCGCACGGCCTCATACGCGGGAATTATGCAGATTAAGCATTCTATTGTACGGAGTACCTCATAATTTATTCTACTTCACTGGCAGCATGCCTGGTATTTTCTACCACATACGAGTTGTGCCTGGACGACTGTTCAACCTGCTCGAACTCGATTATGCAACGTCGTGCGGACGCCACAAGCGCTGGAGACAATGAATGTTCGCCTGGATGTCGCAACACACAATGACAACGGTCACCGCGACCGCTTCCGCTTGATCGACTAGATGTCAATGATCTGTGGAAGCATGGCATTAACAACAGAAAAGAATTAGGTTGACTCCTCACATCCAGCCATCTTGGAAGGCGAGTCGAAATGTCCCGGCGGCCTTCTTCTATCTCGACCACGGTCGCTGTCAAAACGAATGTCGTAACTTCACCTGTTCTCGGAGCGAGTCCTCCTTGGACCTAAGCCACCTCGAACTCTACTCTTGCACTGGCATACTTTTGCTGGGGACGGAATCACTGAAACTCTGGATGTCCCTGTCATTGCTCACGCTATAGCACGCGCATGTGTACCAACAAATGTAGCAGGACTTTCAGCGAAGGAGTAGATCAACCAGGTCAGAAACCACATGTTCCCTGGTACAGACATTAATTTAGGGCTATGTAGAACAACTGTGCTCCTTCATAAAAGGCTGGACTCCAAATTTGAGACTCTGTAGGTCGTTCAAGTTATCAAGAGCATTCCAACACCTTCATCGCCATCGCTTGTTGCTCGTCGCGCAGTAAAACCCCGAGCTATGCAAAAGTTCATCAGCCATTGGGGTCAGCGGTGCGTCTCCTGGACCGGATCCCGTTACTTGCCCTCATCTGGCCCCGTATAACTGGAGGTACGCAGAATGGGCGTCAACAAGCACTGCCAGAGTTGGTCAGTATGGATCGGAACGGGATAGCGAAGACAACTCACTTTGCAGCACTTGTTGCTGGAACTGCTTGCTTTCACACGCACACTGTATACACCTGCCATCTTTCAAGTCAAGTATGACGCTCCACGCCATCTCCTCCCGTTCGTAATCAGGCAAGGTTGGTCGCTTGAAGTCGCCCAGGTGATATTTGCGGCTGGCACTTTTCATATTGCTTTCTGTCGCGGGCTGTGAAAAGATCAGGTATCCTTGGTCATCGATCCTCATAAAGCGCCGTTTCCACAAGAACGACTCTGGAAATTGTACATTGACATCGCCGATGTCGACTACATGGAGCAACGAATCTGCTATCGAGTTCTCTCGGGTCAGCTCCTGGTAATCCTGACTTGGCTGAGATTGGTGGGACTCGGCCTTCGCAGGCGAGTGGTTTTTGTTGCGCGAGCTGGTGAGATTCGACATCCGCTTCATTAGCCTGCTGGTCATTGATGTTCTTGTCTTGTCGTCGCCTATGGATGCGGTATCACTGGTGGACATAGGGCCGTGCCGCTTGTAGTTGCTCGACTTGGAGATCTTGCTCTGGTTCGAATCGGAGCGAGGAAGGTTCGTGTGAGAGTTTGATCGATGTGAAGAAAAGGAAAATCGGCCTCGGTCAGATTTCGTGGGGCTCTTAACCCTGGGTTGATTGGCAGCCAGGCTCTGATCAGACGCCTGGTCGTGCTTCTCATGTTCGACAATCAAGGGACTCTTGTAGAGATTCAAAGGAGCGTGGTAGTTGGAACTGGGGGCGAGAGGAGGATGCTTGCTGTTTTGATCCCGCACAATCCGTGCTGTCACGGAGATAGTCTCGCCCTTCTGGGACGATCTATGCGTATCAACTGACGGGCGTCGCAGTTCTCTTCCAGCGGCCGACGAATGAGGGTCATACTGAGGCCCTGTTGTCGGTAAGGCTTTTGGAGGTGAATTATCAGTCGACGCGTTCGGGGTCTGTTGTTGGTTCGAAAGAAACGACGAGCGCTTCATGAAAGCTGAAAAAGCCGAAGTCCCGGCACTGGTCTCGCGAATCGTCTGACGCGGAGGGCTTGCGTCCTTTGTTCTCAGCACTTCTAAGGCTTTGATGCGTTTGGAAATGCCGGTGCCGAGTGTTGCCTTCTTCGTTAGAGGGGCTGAAATGGGCTCTGCGGGTAATGGCGGCCACTGTGGCAGGGCCGTTGACACGCTCCGTACGCTTCCGCTCGCGGATCTGCCGCGCTCAGGTGTGGTTGCGGCGCTGCGTCGGGTTGTTGAGTGGCTGGTAGTGGGAGGCTTGTTGACAACCTCGCGAAGACGATCAGAGCTTCCCTTGGACATGATCGGAGTCACTGGTGAACGCGCAACAGATATTGGCTTAGCTTCGTGGACCGTGGCAGTATGTATTTCGTCGATCAACGAGTCATCTTCGGAAAGGTCTGATGTTGAAGCATTGCTGTTTCGCAGTAGCTTAAGAGGCTCTGGTGGCTCGAGGCGCCTTGACTTCCTAGGTGAGGAGCGCTGTGCTGACGATGTGACCGCGGGAGGTGAGCGCTGAGCCTCCAAGCTCGGTTGAGGTCTGATCTCGACGACACAAGTGTCTGGTTCCTTGTCCGGTACTGCTTCCAAATAGGCCAGAGCTACCTTTACGTCAGCATGAGGGTCGTCTTCGGTCTCGATCGCAGCAATAGACGTGGTTGAACTGCTTGACGGTCTTATACAGGCAGATTCTGTACTCTCCGCGCTGGTCTTCTCGTCCTCGGCCGAGGCTTTCGGTGTGAGTGATGAGCTGGTCGCCGAAGACAGCGACCGGCGGGTATGAGGAGTGTCGTCGTGTTCACTAACAGAAGAGGCCTTGGTAGACGGTTCTTCAGAGATGTTCGTCATAATCGTGGGTGATGTCGTGTAAGAGGATTGTGTCAATTTCGACTCCTCATCAAGATTCGAGAGCTGCTCCTGGCTAGGTATCGATGATAAACGACTACTCGAGGTGTTCGCGCTTAGACTGGACTCGGACGCATTCTGGCCGTGTACATCTGACGGTGTTGAGGATAGCGCCGAAGCTCTTTGGGCTAAAAGCATATTCCTCTTCCTCAATTGCAGAGCCTTCATCAATCGGACCTTCTCTGGGGTTGCCGTGAATGCATCTCCAGTGACGGATGCTGGCCGTATTACGGCAGAACGACTATCACCGGGGCTATAGGGTGCCTGCAGAAAAGATGGCGATGGAAGGGGAGGAGCGCCGGTGGTCGAATGGCTCGACGTTGCAAATCGCCCTGGGACACTCCGTGTTGATTGCTGCGAGCCAGGTCTAAGCCCCAGACTGACCAGAGACTTGTTGTTAACGCGAATCGAGGTTGGCAAATTAGCCACCGGCCGTATCCCCGTGCTACTGTCGGTTGTTCCAGATGTTTTAGGACGTCCAGTGGGTTCAACATGTGGGCGCGGGCCTAGCTTCTTCTTCTTTGGCTTCGCCGTTGCATAGGACGTCACATTACTGCTCCATAGGCTAATACTGTCCGACTCAGCGGCTGAAAGATGACGAGTGTGAGGGCGAGGGGTAGTCTGGCTGGAGGAATCCGCTGCTGTTGAGGCTGTGGCCCCCAAGAGGATATTGCTCGTGGTGTCGAAGTCTGGAGCTGCGGGTGGCGCTCCCTCGCTGGTCGAGGGCGGCGTCGGCTCGGGCGTCGCCGGGAGCGATTTATCTGTGATGATCGAAGGCAGTGGTGAAGGTAAGGGTGAGGCGGACAATTTGGGCGACGCAAGCAAACTGTCCTTTCGTGGAGGATGCAGGTTCTTCTCCTGCGATGAGTCCGCATTGCTGCTGGGAGTGCCAGTGAGAGCAGACGCTGCAGCAGCCGCTTCCTCCTTCCTTTTCGCCAGCAGAGCTTTAGCAAGCACGGCGCTGGCGGGCAATTCATCGAGTTCGCGCCTTCCGAAAGCCGTAGTCGTGATCGGTGTCTGTTGCAGAGGCGTCTCGTCTGGCTGAGGCGTTAGAAAGTCGAGCGCGAGGCGATTCTGTCCCTGTGGTTTCTCTTTCTCGTCCTCTTCTTCATTGTCCTCCTCCGCCAGAATAGTGACGTCCTCAGCATCTTCGGAGATCTCGTTCAGCCTGCGCCGCCGCAAGGAAGAGCTAGACGAGGTCAAGGATACAGCAGAGGGGAGCAGCATCGTGGACAGGCCCAATGCGGACTCAGTCAGCTCGGAGGCCGCGGCGAAGGAAAAGACGGTGTCATGCGGTGTGAAGGTCTCCAGGACAGATTGAAACTGCACGGTGAGCCGCACTGCAGCAGGTGAGGCAGATCAGTCAACCAGTCTTTATCCAGAATTCACGCGTCCACACACCTTGCAGCAGTCGCGATGTCCCGTCCGGCACATATTTGAGAACGACCTTTTTGCGCCGATACTGCACGAGTCCGTACAGCGGTGATTTCTCTCCATAGTTCTGGATCAAGGCTCGCACTTCGGGCACTCCCCCAGTCCCCTTGCTCAGCAACTCCACGGTGTCGCGATTGACATACTTGAGCAGGAACCTGGACCACGTGAGCATTCAAAGCATCAAGCATCACGAAGGCACATACCATCCTCCTGCATCCGCCTGCGCAGCTTGGAGCGCTTCGGCGACTGCAGCTCCATCAAGGCCATTCAGCGACATTTCTTAGCCCTCATTGGAGAGGCTCAACTTTGCGCGCCTGTTCCCAACCCGCGTTCGTGCTATGTACGGCGTCGCCAGAGGTGATGCAAAGTGAGAGACGTAGAAGCACACCAGGTGAGAGCACTCGCAGCAGGGCCCCGAGATCAATCACTTCCCACCATCGACAGCAACTGGCAGGAACAGCAGCCTCGACACCCCGGGACTGTCAGGATGCACCTTCGAGGGGAGCCCACATGCAGGATGCAGGACATTTTTACGAATGGGGCACAGCGCGGAACTCTATGGGCGGGTCAAGCACTGTCAGGGGTGCTGGACCAAGCCCATTTCGGGGGCCAGCGCATGGATAGCACGCCGTGCACGCTCGCAGTCCGTGGTCGATGTGCTTCATGAGCGTGACGGTGGAGTGGCCTTGACGCTGAAACCCCCGAAGACAACGTGCGATGCGGACGTTTCATTCGCCCATCACGCCATCTCCGTGGGCCAATTTCCCGACCCCTGTTGCCAGCCTGCGGCTAAGAGCGAAGGGGACAGACACCATTCCTCTTCTGCAGGGTTGAATTTCCTCCTCCCACGTAAAATAAGCGAGAGCGTGTCCGAAGCTCGATGCCGCCGATGCGTCAAAGACGGCTGAACACGAAGCTGTTGTCGATCTCTGATTCCTTCGACGCCTCCGGTCTCTCAGCTTTTCGGAGCAAGTCCCGATCTCCCTCGGCTGCACAAGTCATGCGGCACTCGGAGTACTGGGTAGCAGCTGGGGTGTGTGAGGATGCGCAACAGCTTCTGAAACATGCCTTGTGGCCGTGATAAACGAGTCTTGATCTACTTATGCTCGGTCTACGGAGTTACGGAGTACATAATGGTTCATGCATTCTGCCGCGCTCGTGCATGAACAGGACCTTTTTGGATAGGCAAATCCGGCTTCTCTTGGACATGTGCCACGGTTGACAGCGTCGCCCGTTGCGTTCCCGCTGCTGTGCTGCGACAGTGTGCTTGCTCATGTCACGCGCACACGGCTACGAGGTATAGTCCTCCAGCCGAATCACCATTGTTCTACCATCCATGAACTATTGACACGCCGTTGCTTGCTCGGTCCGCAAACGAGAAACGTTTCATCAGACGGCGGGCGGGATGACACCATTAAATGTCCGCGTCCTCCACATCCACAATGGTGACTTCCTCGACAAAGTTGTCGACTCTATGGAGTCCTGGAGCAGGTTTGGACCACAGTACTGAGTAGCTACCGATACGGACGGAATACTGCGAAATAGCATTTGACCCGTTCCGCGAGATGAACGCCAGGCCACGTGAGTTGAAACCTGACATGCTCGGGTGCGGCCGACGCATGGTTTGAACGCCAATGACGTCGATCAATGGTCCTGTATCAACCTAGGTACTCTACTCGGAGCAGAAGCAGCTCACTGTCTGCAACCACCTCGAGAGAAGAGTGAGGACATTGCCGTTTCACGCACCAACGTCTCCTCCGTGATAGAACTTCCCACCATGACCTCCCTGCCACCCATCTCAACCCTCCCATCACTGGATACCGAAGAGCGAGCTCGAATCCTCGACCTGCTCTTCGAACCATGTACCCAACTCCACACGTTATCCGTCAGCCTGCTGCACGAACAAAAGTTCTCATCGTACAGCGACCTCGTCGACGCCGTAGGCAAGCAATTACAGGATCTCCGCCAGTCTGACCTGGAAAGCGATCGCAAATGGCTCGAGGCCATCTTATCCGCCCACCCCAGGCTAGGCGAAAAGAAAGTCGACAGCGAACAATCCCGCCAGGAGCAAGCACAGCTCAACCAAGGCGGATCCGACGAGGCAGACAAGTTGGCAGACCTGAACGCAAAGTATGAAGACAAGTTTCCCGGCTTGAGATACGTGTACGTACCAAGATGAGTTGAGTTGAGTTGCCTTGCCTTGCCTTGCCTTGCCGCCCCCTCCCGTTACACGGCCTACTTCAAACAGATCAACCGGATAAGCCTCACTCTCCTAACATGTCATCTTTGTCATACAGAGTCTTCGTCAACGGCAGGAGTCGGCCCGTCATCATGGATGACATGCAGAGGCGAATAGATCGGGGAGATATCCAGCTGGAGAAACAGGAAGCCATCCAGGTAGGTTTCGGTAATTCCCATTGATTTCTAAAAAGCCTGGTACATACTGTACCACAAAAAATCCAGGCGAAAAGGCCCGTCCCCGTCCCCATCGACACGGGGCCCGAAACCCTCCTGCTGCTTCGAGTAATGATATGGTATGGTATGGTACTGTGTACTGACTGCTCTCTTTTCTCTTCGAATAAAGGCAATGGTCGACATCGCGAAGGACCGAGCGAAGAAATTGGCCGGATGAGTATGGCCCGACGTGGTTCTGGTTAGGCGTCTGTACGAGTGTTCCGTACGCGGTACAAGAACTGCGGGAATGACTAGGTACCTACTCTTATGCATGTATGTGCGTTACCGGTGACCGCACCGCCGATATTCTCGAGAAACAAATCCTTCCGCTTCATTGCAGTCTCGTGAAAGTGCAAGTCCGTTCCATTCTATTTCATTGCCACGGGATCTCACCATCGGGGCATGATTGCGCTGTGGTGGAAGAACATGATAACACTTGAAATGGCATAGCATCAATATGGACATCCTATCTGACCACAGCTCGACACTAACAGACCGTTGGTATTCTTCTAAACCGAGTCTAGCAGGCATGACCTTCGCCCGACCCTGGCAACGCAATATCATCGCACTACTGTCTTCAGTCGCGACGGTGTAGTCCGACGCAGACCATCGCACCCACAGATACTCGACTCGTTTTCGCAGGGGTGAAGCCACCCTCTCCACTCCGTAGCTAAAGCCCGGCTACTTCTCAAAGGTATACCTCATCCACTCGCCTATGGCCTTCAAACTCTCCCACCGGACACTCTCGTCACTGTCGCCCATCAGCTCCAACAACCTCGCCTTCAGGCCTAACTTCTCCAGCGCCGTCCTCTGCTCTGGCACTTGCTTCACCAGGTTGCCCACATCATTACTCGCGATTGCCAACACTTTCTTGTCGTTGTCCCAGGGCTTTGACAAGATTTCGGCGAGTTTCTTGGGGAGTTCGCCGTTCTTGTCCTCGAGGATCCTCCGCGCGTTCTCGCGCCAGAACGTTGGGTTGCGGTGAGGTGGCGACCAGCGTAAATGCCCAGATTGCACTTCGTCAGCGTACTCGTCAAAGGTGGTCTGGTTCTTGGTGTATTCTTCCAGTATCGACTTGAGAGCTTCGAGGTCTTCAAGGAGGTCTGGGTCGGTGAGATGGCGGCCGCTCAGGTTGGAAAGCAGGGCCGGAAGTCTAGCCGTGGTAGCGGTGGCAATGAGAGTCTCCTTGTTCGTCGACAACAGGTTGGTCAGGGTCGCCAATAGGAGTCGGGTGGTCTTCTCCTTTGGTGACATCCGGAGGAGCTGGGTGTACAGGGGCACGATCTCCTGGTCCCTGGGTAAACATTAGCCCGGGCTCTCACTTTCGCCCTCCTTCCTCGGTCACTCACTGTTCGAGCCCTTCGCCCACCAGTTCGCCCTCAAAGCTCAGCTGCCAAATCACCAGTAAAACGTGGTACATCAGCTGGAGGGCGACACCGCCGCCAAATCTGGTGTCACCGCTTCGAATGCTGGCATTGCCACTCCATAGCGTAGAATCATTGTCCTTCGCTGCTCCCGCTGCTTTGCGAAGGATGTCGAATAATGGGTCGACCGTATCGGCTCTCTGCTCCCAGAAAATCTCTTTTGATCGCGTGGTTCGGAGCAGTTGCGACATGTGCTGGACTCCAATATCCTGTAGACCACCGTCTTGGTTCTTAACCAGTTTCGCCAGATACGAGTAGAGCTGAGGAAGGGCTTCGTCGTCTCTCGAGGCTGGGCGTGAGGTGGTCGTTATGGAAATAGCAATGAGGTTGACCAGAAACGTAGCGGAAAGCAATGGTATGGGGTCTTGAGGCTCGCTGCCCTGGCTCAGGAACGACAAGAACGATTCATAAGGGTTTGGATGCCTTAGGATGGCTGCTGCGAGCTCTGGGGCATCTAATTCAGGTCAGCTATATTCCTGGCGCCTGGTGCGCGCAAGTGGTGGGCGGGTATACCATTGATAAGGTCTGTAGCCAGCACGAGGATGTACTGGATGATATCACTGCGTTTCGAGGCTTTGTCGAGCACGCTGCCACCATCCGAGCCGCCTACGAGCAGGTTGCTGTAGCTGTTGACATCCTTCTCGATGGTCTGTTTCCGCTGCTCTTTCCTGACCTTGTCAACGGATCGTATCCTCTTTAGCTGGTCCTCTGTAAGGTTTCCCGCTCGCACGGCGCCGTCCCAAGGTATCTGCGACGCTATTAGACGGTACAGCCAGGTAGAGGCACCTCGGAACTTACTGGACGGGCTCTGATGTTGCTCTGCAGGGAAGCGAGATATGCTGGCGGACTCAATGACATCGTGTCCGGGTGTATGTCAATCAGTTTGAGAGTATGTCGAGTCCAAGGTCAAGCAAGCAAAGCCATGAACTGTGCTGGTGCAAGCAATGTATTTGACGGTGTGAGTTACGAGAAATAGGCGTCACAATAGTTACTGGAGCTGCATCATAATCTTTGGTGAAGCTGTGATGGGAGAAGCTTCCCACCATCTGCAGGACAAGGCAGTCAGTTCGGAGACAAGTGACAGAGCAGCTTTAAGCTGACTAGCCGAGCCAGAGGCTTGACGTCGGCGGGACAAGCGCCTGGTGCGCCTGGTGCGCCCGCCTTGCCCCATTCGTGTCCTGTCCGCGCAGCCCGACAATTTGTCCTCAAGGAGAACGCGTCAACATTCGTAGGACAATCGCCCATTCCGACAGTCCAGACTTCCGCTGCCATGCTACATATTGCGCCCTCTGCCCTCTTGAGGCCGGTACCGGACTACCTGTCGAGGTCATCACGGGGTTGATATCACCTCCGAAAGCTTTTAAGAGCAGACTCTCCAGTGACTTTACAACCATGGCGGCCAAACCGAGATCAGGGTGGAATTTCCTGCAGCAGGCGGTCGCCTCTGTTGAGTCCCGCTTAGACGACATATTGGCCGAAGACGGCGAACGCCCGAAAAGGACGAACACACCTCCCCACACCAAGAAGCCGTCCTCAGATCTCTCACGGAGCAACAGCAATGCATCCGGCTCGAACGACCGACTGCAAGAGCGTCTCGCTCGGGCGATGGCCAAGAAGAGCGCAAGTCGAACCGAAAGTCCGGTGCCTCCTCAAGATGAATCGTCGAGCCCTATTTCTAGAGCAGCAGATCTCACTACGGCCGCAGATGATGCGGAAGCCGTGACAAACACATCCCACTTGACCGGACAGGATGCCAAAGACAAGGTTGACGACGGCAGTCAGGTCATCGCTGACGAAGAGGCCCCGCAAGAGGAAGAAACCACTGTTTTGCTGGAAAATGCAAGAGCCGTCCCAGTAAGTGCACTACAGTCACACGGCGATACGTCACGAGCTTCTACAGACGCTTTGCGAGACAGCCGAACGACTTCAAATAGGCCGTCGCAAGATATACCAAGGCCGAGTGTAGACAGCCAGACACGACAGAGTGCAGCGGAGATCCTGGAGGCACAAGCAGAAATGAACGTCTATCTTGAGCGCATAGATGCATTGAGGAGAGACCTGCAAACGTTGGTTGACAGCGTCTCCGAGTCTGCACGGAAGAACGCCGACACTGCAAAACAGGCCGCTTATTCCGCCGAGCCTGGGAGTCTGGAGCAGAAGATCTCCCAGAAGGATGAGAAGATAGCTCTTCTAATTGAGGAAGGTACCCGATGGTCCAAGACCGAAATGGAGCTTCGGAGTACGATCAAGAAAATCCGAGCACAGGCAACCGCCAGCGCCAAAGAACAGGAGACATCCAAAATCCGCGCAGAAAAGGCTGAACAGGCGTTCAGAGCAATGGAAGATCGGGCCAAAAGAGCGGAAGCTGCAAATAAGCGCGTGGAGCAGAATCTGGCACTGAGCTCAGCCACGACGAAAGACCTTGAGGCCGTGAGGAAAGAGCGAGACTCGTTGAACGCTACCCTGGCGGACATGAAGGCCCAGCTATCGAAGGCCAATGCAAGAGCGGAAGCAGCTGAGAACAAAGCACAATCCGACCAGCTGGACAAGGAGAGGAAACGGGTAGCAGAACTACGGGATGACCTGACCAGTGCCAAAGTCGAGCGACAAATCTCTGAAGAGAAATTGCGTCAAGAGATCAAGGAGCTTCAGGCAGCCTTGGAAAGAGAGAAAGGGCAAGCACGCGCCATGGAGTCTGAAATGCTCAGCGAGCAGGCGGCTCTCGAAAGCAAACTCGAATCATTCCGAATTCGGGCTGAAGAAGCATCCTCGGCGGATACAGGTCACACACAAGCCAAGCTACTTCGGCAGATTGAGACGCTACAAAACCAATATGCCGCGGCGAGTCAGAACTGGCAAGGCATTGAGACCTCGCTCCTGGGTAGGATCGCCAACCTTGAAAAGGAACGTGATGAAGTCGTTTCGAGGGATGCAGAATTGCGGAAGAAATCGCGAGACACTACGCTCAAGCTCAAGAATGCGGAAAGAGAGCTGGACAGCCTACGGAACAAGTATGCTGACATGGACAAATCATTGGCGGATGCCAATGAAGAAGTACAACGGTTGCAGAAGAAGACGACCCAGCTTGAACAGGACCTCACGGAGGCCCTGAAAGATCTCGAGACGCAGAAGCAGGCTGCGGAGCGGGAACTGCTACGCAGGATCGACGAGGAGAAAGCAAAGTGGACGGCAAACCTCCATATTCCACGCACGGAATCTCCTGCGGCATCATTGCGTAAGAACTCGGGTCTAGGATTTGACATGGGTCATCTGATGAGCCCGGTTCAATTCGAGCGGGCCACGAGTCGACGCTCCTCCATTATGCACAATACGTTCGACTCGAACACCCCGCCTCGTCAACAATCCACTACTTCTTTCCGCGGTTTGGCAAACGGATCGACTGTTGAGACACCCTCAGTTGTGACGTCCATGGACCATGACGAATACTTTGCCAATGTACCGCCCACCCCGCTGACGACAAGCCACCACTCTCAAAGGGGCGTCGTCAACGATCTGATATCCACTTCGACTGTGGGTGCGGGTCCTTCGGTACAGCTTGTCGAACGCATGTCGGCCAACGTACGGCGCCTGGAAAGCGAGAAAGCTGCGTCCAAGGATGAGCTTGCCCGCCTTACCACCCAACGCGACGAGGCACGGCAGGAAGTGGTAAGCTTGATGCGCGAAGCCGAGGAAAAGCGCCGGATCGAGGAGCGGCTGAGGGCCTTGGAGAAGGAGCACGCCAGTTTGAGCCAGCGGCACCAGACTACGCTGGAGCTGTTAGGCGAGAAGAGCGAGCAGGTGGAGGAGCTCAAGGCCGACATCCTCGACGTGAAGCAGATGTATCGGCAATTGGCGGATACCATGAAATAAAACGAGCGCTCACCAGCCGGATATGTCTTCAATCATCAATACCAGCTCGCTTGTGCTCATTGAGTTTTCGTGTGAGTTGGTCATGTGAAGAAGTCGATGCCCTCCCTCTCGGCCGCCTTGACAATATACGATCGCACCCTGGCATCCGGCGCACAGTCGATCGCCAGTCTGCCGTCAACGTCTTTCTTGTCAGTCTCCGCACCAGCCTTTAGCAATTCGACCGCGACATCACCGTTTCCCTCACTGACGGCGTGATGCAGTGCGGTCAAGCCATCCATATCCGTAGCATTGATCGGTGATTTGTTCTCTAGTAATAACTTGACAATAGGCACGTTGCCAGCGGCCGCAGCACGATGAAGGGCCAATTGTCCTCTCTTATCCTTCACTCTCGCGCTGGCACCATGCTTTAGCAACGTTCTGCAAACCTCGAGGTTGTTTTTCGACACGGCTAGGTGTAGCGGGGTCACGCCCGAGTTCGTCGGCATTTTGGGATCGGCATCTTTGGAGAGCAGCAGTTCGATGATGGGGAGGCCGGAGTTGTCTTTTAGTGACGACGCAATTGCGAGGGGTGTCCAGCCTGAGCCATCCTGTGCGTCGGGCTCGAAGGAGCGAGTGGAGCTGAGGAGTTTGACCACGTCGAGGTGTGCGAAGGCGCAGGCCCAGTGGACGGGCAGTCGCTCGTCTTGATCGTGCAGGTTTGCGAGTTTGGGGTTTGCCCGGAGGAGTGATTCGACAACTAGGAGCCTGCCCTCGCGAGCCGCCTCGTGTATTGCGTACTTGCCCTCTGCCGACTCCGCCATGGCGAGCAACGATGAGTGAGGGTGTTTCGCAGGCAGAGGGGTGAAGGACGAGGGCGTTAGTGACTGTCGCGTCATGCCCGACTCGCCGACTTACTTTGTCCGGACGCGGCCTAGTGCGGGCAGAAGGCGGCGGCGGCGGCTGAGTAAATCCGATCCGACGAGGCTGCCTATCTTTTTAGCCGATTGCCTGGATCGAGACAAGCCCGTAAATCCCACGCCGAAGCTGAAAACGTGAATGTATCTGTCATTGGCCTCCACCTCACCTGGGTGTCCACGGCTTGACTAGTCGACATTGTCCTCTCGCTTAGGCTTCGTCGCAGGCGCAAGTGGGTGCTGGGGGTGTGTGACTCCAGGCAGTGACTGCCGCCCGCCCTCTGTCCGCTGTCCGCTGTCCGCCGTCCGCATGATCTAAACCATCTTTCTACCCCTCTCACTGGAAATCCACCCTCGCCGCATCGTTGTTATCTCAAGATGCCATTGCTTCAATCTCATGGCTGGAAATCTGCAACAAAGTAATGGGAAGGCCGCCAGAATCCAGCGCAAAAACTACCACAGGCGAAGCCCACGTGCGTGCGATGAGTGCCGGCTACGGAAAATCAAATGTGACGGAGGCCTGCCGTGCGGCCCTTGCAGTATCTCCAAAGATGGTGAGACCGTCGCATCATGTCGTGTAGACCGAAGTTACAAAAGTACTAACGGGCCAAGCCTGCTCATATGATTCGGGAACAAGACCCCGGGAAACGCCCACGCAGAGGATCCGAAAGCTGGAGGCATGCATACGGTCCGTGCGGACAGCTCTTATGCAGCTGAAGGCTCAGACTCCAGACTCTGCCAACGGCGACATAGATTCAGTCATCAGTTCTCTAGACACCTCGTACCCCGAGCCAGGAGATGGCGAGTCGAGCGCGGACGAAGACGAGGCGAAACACCGCCGCTTAAACAGCATGATGGGAAGCGCTGGGCGCATCATTTCGCATTCCCCGTCGCAAACGACGTACTATGGCCCATACTCCGGCTACGCCTTCGTCTTCAAGACGATCGAGCTTTTTCGAAGAATGCCAGACAACCCGGTCTTGACCACGGAAACGCAAACCATTACCACGACCTTGTTCAACGCTCCCATGCCCGAGGCTGAAGGGGGTCCGCACTACTCATCGCAGTTCCAGAGTCTTCCGAGTCTCTCTATTACCCTGAGTCTCCTGGATGTGGTCTTCACGAGATGTCATCCACTGATCCAGTTCGTCCACGAGGCCGATTTCCGAGATATGGTGCACCGGTTGTACAGTGAATCAGCATTGCAGTTTGGAGCTTCGAGCCGGGATTTTATGCCTCTGTTCCACTCGGTCCTCAGCATCGCGTTGCTGTTCGAGACGCGATTGCGTAAAAACCATGGATGCGAAGACATAGCCCACGAGGCGTGAGTGCAACTTGGCGTATGGTCTTTCGTCGCTAACTGCGCGTAGTACGAGACATTTCATCCTGGCCCGAAAAGAACTCGACATCGCACAATGCGCTGATCTCATATCCATGCAGACGATACTTTGCCTGATCACCTTCTTAGTCACCACGTCCCGGTTGACTTCGGCGTACACCTATCTTGGCATTGCTTGTACATCGGCCCTGAGGCTTGGTCTGCATAAAGAGATTGACAAGGACCTGTCCTTCCCTGGAACACAACAAGAGGCGAGACTACGAATTATGCTGGCCGTCCTCCAGCTCGACACCTTCGTGAGCATCGTGCTGGACATGCCCACTCGCATTAACCCAGGGTGTGTGGACCCAGCAGTCCTTGCAGCATTACAGCCTCCATCCACGAAGAAGTCGGCCACCACAACTGAGTCTCTTTCCGACCCCCAGGCTAAGTACGCCACCTCGGCAAAGCACATGCAACTACTGGCCCTCACAGCGTCCGGCCTCCGAGGCATCTTCGTCCATGGCAACAGCAATGAGAAACCCGCCAGCGGCCCAAATGTCGATAGTGTTGACACCAAGAAGATGGCGGAGACTGAGGATGCGTTTCGGAAATGGGCGAAAGCGTTATCTTGCGTACCTCTCATTCCGCAAAAGCCTGAAATGTCTGCAATGTAAGTCATATCCTGCGTACTGCTCGTCCGGACTCACTAACTGGGGGACGCAGTCTCAAATACGAACTAGAGATGGCCTTCTATCTCGGCCAGTTCATCCTCTACCAACCATTTCTACATTATCTCATCCAAATGGCCAACGGCTTTCCTATCATGAAAATACAATCACAACATGCCCTGGCCTGCATCAAGATTGCATCGACAACGATAACACGCTCCGAGGTCATGCATCAACGTGGCCTGCTGGCTCCAGCGTCGTGGAGCGTCATGTACACGCTGTTTCAGGCGGTAATGTGCCTCCTCTTCCTCATCGCGACTCACAACGGCACGTCGCGACCGAGCGAGGCTTGGAAGAAAGGCGAATTAGGCATAAGACTCCTGGCGACGATGCGCTGCTTCGACAACGGTGCAGTCAGGTGTCTTTGGATCATCAAGGTAAAGAAAAACCCCCTGTCTCGCATAAACCGTTCTTGACAACTACTTACCAATGATGGCTTCAGATGGTCATCAAACAACTCTCCCACACGGTTCAATTCGACGTGGATCAAATCGTGGCCGCAACGGACTGTCTCTGTCCCTGCGGCCGCACAAGTCTTCTCCCCACAGAAGCTCTCGACCGGCGTCCCTCTCGCGATCAACACCCCGACATAACCGCTGGGGGCGGCGCAAGTGGCTACGCCACACCAGAAACACCACACGATGCCCGAGCATACCCGTCCGTTTGGAGCCGCCCGGGCATCGAGCAGATTATGATTATGAATCAGGATTCCCCACGGCACGACGCGGACTATATCCTTGCGGAGGCGCAGGCGATCGCCATGACATTGCCGATTGACAACTCGGACATATTTCACATTGGGGAAATTTCATGACGACAACGTGAGTTCAAGGCAAGGAAAGGAGTTGGGTTGAGCATGGGAATATATACAGACATATCTAAGCATGCGGGCATGGATGTTGGACATCCCAGTTCTGGTCATCTCAGGCATCTGGCACAGAGTAGAGTACTATACCTGGCTGGCGTTGATTGTGGCTTCCCTCTTGCTCCTGCATGGTCGGAAAAGTCCTCCTGACGGTTTGTTTATCTGTCCTTCCGCCGACCGGTGCGTAATCTGATTATCTTCCGCTCGCTTGTGCGGTGTACTGTAGTTGTAAACATCCCCGGGTCCATTGGCTGTCGGTGATTGACTGACTACAGCGTAGGATGGTAGGCGTACAGTGCAGTGCAGTGAGTGCAGTGCGGTGCGTAGGCATACATACAGTGTATACACATATATACAGGGTATACACTATAGGGAGATATGCATGTATGCATCGTATATCTGTACGCTTTCCTATACGTTGAAGAGTAAGTATCTATGTAAAATGTGTATAGTGTATAGTGTATCTATAAGGAGATCTGGTCGTCCTGCCTATATACAGATCATGATACCTTATCCCTTGGTCTTCGCGACGAGTCCGATCTACGTATTTAGTATGAGACTGGATCTCGCTCCTGCGCACCTATTCCCTTCGTGCTGTCCATTGTCTATTGTCTGCTGCCTGTTTGTATACGGATGTATATATTCTGTTACCGTCCGTATTCGTCCCTCTATCTACACGACCGGTCTAAATATATGGCTGCGTCAATCCAGACGTAGCGTATCGCATACTGTACCATCACATCACATCACATGGCATCCCATCCCATCCCATCACACATCATCGCATTGCATAAAGTCTCCTCAAATCTCCTTGAGAAAACCCACCTCAATCACCTTCTCAGTCGGCACATTCAGCTCGCCATCTTGGTGCGCGAATTGTCCTTCATCCACAAGAACAGCACGAGCAGCACACGTCTCAGCGGGCCCGTGGTGTGCTTGATCTTCATCTGCTCCTTCCCCATGATGTACATGACTTTATAGCTGAAGGCGCGGTCCAGGCGGGCCAATGCCTCCACCGGCGATTTTTCCGAGTTATGGTGTGAGTGCGGGTGCGGTTGCAGGTGCAAAGGTGTCCGCGTCTGCTCTTGTCCTTGCGCATGTACTTGCGGCGTCTTGTCGCGCGAGGATGTAGAGAACATGTCACCGTCGGCGTCGGCGTCGGCGTCGGTGTCGGCATTGAGGACTTCAGGTCTAGAGCGTGTGGCCGTGGATGTTTCTTCGCTGCTCTCACTGAGACCCGAAGGCGGCGGTGCCTGGATTGCGGGTGTCTTCTGCTCACTCAGTATGTACACTCGGAGCTGCTCGTAGATGACGGAGGCGAGGTTCGGGGTGATGACTTCGTCGTTGTAGCCGTAGCGGACGACGAGGCGGTAGCAGTGCGGGATCGCGAGGCGGGACACGGTATGTCGTTCCGAGGGCGGCACGGAGGGCGTCTCGAGCGGGCGCAGGTGGAAGAACACGCTCACTTCGGGCATGGCCGTGAGTTTGATCGCGAACTGGCTGAACACTATGGGTGTCGTTTCGCCGGCCTTGTCGAAGAAGATGCCGAACCCGTTGATGGAGCTGAGAGGCGTGCCGTCGAAGCGGTCGGTCAGTTGCAATCCGTCCGGGGTTTTGCGCACGAAATGAGACGTGGGGAATCGGTCTTCTGCTTCAGCGAACCATTGCTATAGGACGAGCGGCGGTCAGAATGTGTAGACGCATGGCATGATCTGGCTGGCGTTGGGGTACAACGGGGACGACAGAGACAAAATGCCTCATGTGGGCAATAGCACACGGCGACGGTGCGCGTTCCAAGTGAAAATGACTGACTTACCTGTTCTTTGCCGAAGCGCCATAGCATGAATACCATGCCCAGTACGATGGCGAGGGTGAGAGTGAACCAGGCTCCGTCAGGAACTTTGGTGAGTGCCGAGGAAAGGAAGCTGCCGTCCAAGAGGGCAATTGTGAGCCAAGGGAGGAACACGATGAAGGGACTGAAACGCCAGACGAATATGGCCGCTAACGATACCCTGCACACAGTATGGTTTAACATTGAGGGTCAAGTCCGAACAGTCATGAAAGGGCAGAGTGGTAGACGCACTCGTCAGAGAGTACTTACATGCAAGTATCGAAGAAGGTGACGAACATGACGCAGACGCCGTAAGCGTTACCGAGCGATGTGGTGTTGTTGTAGATCGAGGCAATGAGGATGGTCCCGATCATGAGAAGCCAGTTGGCAAGCGGGATGTACAGCTGTCCGTGGAAGATCTTCGACGTGTGCTTGACGGAGAGTTGTGGGAAGTAGGACAGTTTCATGACTTGGTGGAGCAGCTGGAAGGTTGCGGTGATGATGGCTTGCGAGGCGACAATCGCAGCTAGAATCGCGATGATCAGAGCCGGATAGACGGTGCCAGGAGGAGCGGCCTCGAAGAACGGGTTCGCGTATCCTTCGGGGTGGTCGCTGATGTAGGCTGCCTGACCAATATAGGCCAGCAGGAGGCACGGGAATGTGTAACACAGCCAGCTGAGCTGGATGGCTCTGCGGCTGAAGGCGCCCAGGTCTGCGAACAATGCTTCGACCCCGGTAAAGGCCAAGAGGACACCGCCCAGCTGTCTCCAACCGTGTTCGCCATTGTGAACCAAAAACCTGAAGCCGTACCCGGGATTGAAGGCTTTGAAGACCGAGGCGTCGTGGTGGACCAGATTGTAGATTCCAAAGACGGCGTTGAATCCGAGCCAGACAACAACGATCGGCGAAAAGGCGTAGGTGATCTTGGTGATTCCAAAGGGCTGGACGAGGAACAACAAAACGAGGATCGCGTCGGTGATGCCGATGATGGCACCTTTGGAAATGCTGGGGTTGACCACCCGGGCACCTTGAACGGCTCCCAGGACAGACTGTGCAGGCGTGAGCACGCCGTCCGAAAGCACCATGGACACGGCCAACACTCCCATGGTCTTAAGGATACCACGCACTATGCGGCTCGACTCGATGCCCTTGCGCATTGCCCTGCCGGCGCTCTCGAGGTCTCCGGAGGCATGTCGCTTCAGTCTCACAAGCGTAGCTTCTCTTGGATCACGATTTGTAATGTTCATGTACCGGCTGAGGAGCGTATATGTACTGAAAGTGCCTCCTTCGCCCTCATTGTCTGCGTGAAGGATCACGATGATGTACTTGACTGTGACCATCGTGATCAAGGACCAGATAATGAGTGACAGTACGCCAACAAGGTCTTCTTTCGATGGCTCGGAGGTGAAGGTCGACGAGTAGACATAGAGGGGACTTGTACCGATGTCGCCATAGATCACCCCAATAGACTGATACGCTCTGCCAATTATTCTCAGCATCTCAACCTTGCATCGGGACTGACGGGCGGACGCAAGGAGAACTCACAGCCAGAGTAGCATCTTGCCGCCGAAGACCTACAGCGGCGTCAATCGAGGCGGCTCTAACCGAGGCGGCCAGCTATCATACCTGCTTTTCCTTGAAGTCGCCTTCCTTGCGCAAACCAGGGTCCTCGTCGAGTTGCAGAGATTTGGTGCGATAGAGGCCGAGATCGTGCGAGGACCTCCTCGAGCGCATGTTGTAGATGCCATCATCATGCGCATAGATCGAGGTGGAGTCGGCTGTTCGCCCATCTTTGGCCTGCAGCTCATTCTTGGGATGAACTTCATTGGCAATGCGAATCGTAGCCATTGCATGAAGCACTGCTGCAAGACTTGGGGAAGAAAGAACAGAGGAGAACTGGGCTGGCAACTGACCACCCAACGTGGACGGAGAGAGACCTTCTTAAGCCACGCAGACACGAAACGTGGACCCCTCGTCTCCGTTGCACTGGATCGTGGTCGGATCCATCAGATAGAAAGCAATTGCGCATGTGCAAGATGAACCACATGGGTGCGAAGTTTGACCCCTTCAGGTCAACATTCTGAGTGGAGGAGAGCCTCCGGCGTAGCCTATGGGAGCTGCATCAGGTATCTATCCAGGGTCGCTATGTCGCAAGATGCGATTGTTGCGAGGCAGACAAGGGAGTTGGCGTGGAACTGGACCTGGCACCACCATGACGGACTGGCGCCTGTGGAAGACTGGGAATGTGAGGTTGCAGGTGGCAGTGTTGTGGCCGCCCACCCTTGTCATCCGAGCTAAGGCAAGATGTTCGATGAGCTGCCGTGAGCTGCCAATCCGATAGGTAGAATGTTGCTCAGGAATGAGCATCCTGCAGGCTGGAAATCAAATGTCCATGGTGGACAGACCGGGAGCACAGATCTTGGCTGCCAGCATCTCGTTCCGTCTATCCAGGAGGCTGCTGATTGGCCCCGTGCTGACCATGCATTTCCCGTCTATGAGAGATTTTCGACCTTTCCGCTGGTGGAGGTCTAAATTCAACTTCATCCTGCATCTCTCAGACCTGCTGAGCCACACGAAGCAACGGCAAGACGGAACAGGCAGAAGGCTTATGTCAACACTGGTCTGATCTGGACCTGGCTTCACCTTCTTGTTTCGGACACCGTATGCTTCATGTCTACTTCTGACCGGAAGCAAGCCATGAAGGGTGCTGTACTTGGACGAGCAAGGGGAGATTGTCCGCAGTTGTTGTTATGTAAGGACGGTGATCGACATGCTTGATTGTATGAGGCATTTCCGAGCATTCGATGTCGCACTGTAGGACAATAGGTGTAGGGGCATGCTGTCCGTGGCAGGGCACCTATGCCAATATGAAAGGCCCGTGATCTGCTCTCAATCGCCTTCAGCCTCCCGCCTGGGTTCTGCGGCGAGCTTGTGGCCCTGACACTCTCATGGCGACTGCGCCACCACCACCGTCTGTAGCATCCTCCACCACCACAGGCAAGAACCGAACTCTCATCACGATAACTGCGCTGATCGGCATCGTTGTCGTCGTCCTCCTATTGGCGTTATACGGCAAGAGACACGGCCCACGTGAAAGGCTGCGAGAGTTGCAGCTCCAGAGTGAACTTCGACGATCTGGATCTCGACGACGTCGAAAAGAACAACGAGAAAGGGGCATGACGCCGACGCTGCTTCAACTCATCCCAGCTGTCAAGTACAATAGTACGCCGACCGGAGAGCGACCGACAAAGAGCTTGGATCTAGAGAAGGGACATGCCGCAGGAGTCACACGTACCTGGTCACTTGCTCAGAGCCAGCTAAACATCAAGGCAATGCAAGCCGAGACGAGTGAAGTGCAGATGAGGCCCGGCAGGAATGATGGAAGCCGAATCTGCGAAGCGCTTCACTTGGGTTCTGAAGAGCAGGAGTGTCCTATCTGCACACAAGCCTTCGTTCAGGACGAAGATGTTCGCGTCCTCCCCTGCGGTCACATGCACCACAAGAGTTGTATAGACCCGTGGCTGTTGGACTTTAGTGGGACTTGCCCGGTGTGGTTGGTGAATCTGCTCCCCTGTGTGAGGGTTCTTGCTGACATTCATCGATAGCCGTGTACACATGGACACTTTCCAATCGCCGCCCATTCATGAGCTTGACATCCCTAAGAAACCCCAGGCTGCGGTGGTGACTGGAGAGGTTCTCCAGCATTAATACCGTCCTCGTTCGGATCCATAGGCAATGCTGAACCCTTCAAATTGCGATGCTCAGTTGCTTTGAAAAGCAAGGCTACCATGTAGAAGTTGTAACTTCAATTGTCGAGCTGAGCTCAACATGGCTGGTCGGATCGATCACCTCAAGCGCTGGTGATGCCACTTGCGATGCAGGACGGTGGCTGCAATGAAGCCGGTGAAGGCCTGGGATGGTTTTGCTGGGGCTACTTGTGTCTCGAAAGGTGCATTCGTGATTCAAGAATCTTCACTTCTCGGTTGCCTGCTTTCATTTTCACTTCACTTCTCGGTTGCCTGCTTTCATTTTCACTTCACCTCTCCTTTCTCTTGCTTCCATTCTACTTTAGTTCCTCCTGCCTGCTTCTATCCCACTTCACTCCACATTGATAGGTATCGCATTCCCGGTGCTTACTCCCTTACTCCTCTGCATGGAAAGTCACCCTCCCCACCCACCAAGCCACGATCATCTCCTCCTCTTGTGTTACGTTCACCGCGTTCCAGTCGATTCGACTCCGCATCTTCCTCCTTCAGCCGATGGACCAATCGATCGTCGCCGGTCTACGACTCCTAAAGGTATACGGCAAGCGACAGTGGGAGTCGATCATTCCGACCCGAAGATCAGACCATACTCCCAAGGCCCAAGCCCCAGCCGTACCCAGCCGACACAGTCCTGTCTTCTGAGCACTGACTCGGGGGATGACGTTTCCTCCATCCGTTCTCCACTCGATGGTACCAAAGCATAAAGAGATCCCGTGCACAGCCAACAACCGCGATGAGCCCTGGAAGAACGTTGCCCGAGACCGATTTGTCTCTTGGGTATTCTCCTTGAGGTCTCACGAATCCGCGCCGAGTCAGCGCGATGCGCTTATCAGGCGGTTGAACAACCGCTTTGTTAAGAGCCGGGCAGCAAATACTCATGGAGTACGGATAGTCCTCCCCGTGTACCTCACGCGAGAGGTTGCAATATGATTCACATCGGACAGCGACAAAACGGCCTACTCACATACCATCTGCCAATGACCATATTCAACAGATGTCGCCCACATCGCCATTGTAGAGTCGAGGCTGCAATTCTGTTTCGCAGCCAGACCAACGATGTTGCGGGCTTTGATTCCAGCTTTAAGCCTGCTTCATCCGGTCATGTTTTAATAGCAGGATAAGAATGTCCATGCCGCTCGACTGTTCGTGGATAGCTCAGATGTTGTGAGATGGTGAACTCTGTCAAGCGTGCCGCAAGAACTTCGCGCTTTGACGTTGTCTGAGCGAGCTCAATTTCTGCCTAGATACAGCACACGTAGCACATGCGGACGCGATTTCGACGATGGCGACGGACTCGCCCATAGCCGCTGTGATGAATTGTCGTCACATGTGATTGGGGTGGGTAATTGGGCTTGGCATGAGTCTCCGCGTCCTTTGGTGAATAGTCACGTAGTACAGAGTATGTACTCCGTACTCCGTAATGATTGCCCTGCTTACACTATATCTGTGGCCTCTCCAGCGCCCATGTCACAGTCGTTGGTGCTTCCGGGCCGGTGCCGGGCATATCAATGAGCCAAGATATCTCGACGTATCGAAGGTCTCCAGCGGTTGGAACGACTGTGCGCCGCCGCGTGTTGACCGATGAGATCCGTCGTCAGATATGTGCCGACGCCGAAGACGACCCGACCCTGAAGCAAGGTCAATTAGCGGGTACGTGAACTTTGGGCTTTTGGCTTGTGACCTATTCTAAGACTTTGCCTAGTAAAACATGGCCTTGAACGGAGGTACGCTTTCGCCAGTGGTCGGAGTTGTGGTCAGCGGACTGAATCCACCTACATAGCACGATTTCCAAAATCCTCCGAAAGCGGGACAAGTACATGAATTTGCAGTCGGCGGGAAAGACTTTTATCTCGGATGGAGACTCGCAGGCCCTCACCAAACGACTGGACCTTGAGAAGACTTCTCTGCCTTCCCCTGCCGGCGGGGTCGAAAATCAACGAGACAGAGGCCTACCTATCACGACTGACAGTCTCCAGGGGCGGGAGCAAGGGGAACGATTTTCAACTACCGAGGCTGGCCCAGCGATAGTCTCCCATGCTGACCTACTCGAGACGTCTAGCCGACGCAAGGATGATCATACTACGCAGAAAAGCGACGCCGATTCGACGTTGGCAGATTCCGGCACAGCCTCAGTCGCGCAGACTCCTCTTAGGAGCACTCCGGCATCTTCCTCGGACATCTTGCTTGGTAGCACTCCGACCTCGCCGGCCGCCGAAGACGACATCATGCGAGCTCTACACGCCATGAAAGCACTGCTGGATCGAAATCCCGGCGTAGCCAGTTCGGACGATTACGTGGCGGTCGGAAGATTACAGGCCATCCTCCAAGTCCTTCGTGCAGGGAGGCGCGCATCGATGGGAGGCGGCGCGCAACTGACTACGGATGACGTGCGCAGTCGGAGAAAACGAACGAAATATCGACCTGGCCGGGCAGCGTACGGTCGGGAAACAGCCACTCAAGAAGGGACCGACAGTCCCGAGACTGGGCAGCCACGGCAAAGATCAACATGACACCAGCAGCCTTGGTGTGTAGGACGCCGTCCAGGTAATCTGTGTTGGTTGGGGCGTGGCTCAGGTACATAATCTGTGTTGGTTGGCCGTGGTTCAGGTACATAATCTGTGTTTTGTCGACCGCTTCGCTGGTCGGGTAACATGCGTCTGTTGGTGATATCGATGATATTGCGTCGACACACCGATGCTGATCTGTTGTGATGACTCGTCGACAAGCTTCGACTGGCAGAACCCGGAGCAGGAGTGGAGTCATATCGGGCTTTTACAGTATCATCGCTGCCCGGCCGTGCTACAACTTATGTCCTTTTTCATCGCTGCCCGGCTGGGCTACATGTGATGTCCCTTGTTTTTCAATGCTGCTTAGGTGGAATGGAGTAATGGGAAGTTCGTTTGGCAGCCAGACATCATGCCAGACAACGTAAATCCAAAGCTTCGCGTGGGGAAGAGCTGATTGAAGATAGTTGGGCCGACAATAATGTGTACCTGCCTACCCCGCCACTGTAACTGTGTGTGATTATTGAGAGTTGATGGGCAACTCGCGCGTCGGTCTTCGGTTCTGGAAGTGAGTCCGCGTCGTTGTGAGGAATGAGTACTCGCCTAGAAGGACGGAGTATGTACCACACTATATCAATCACCTACGTATATACCAGTCACTCAATAGCATGGTGAGCACGGCGAGCGTGACACAATTCAACCGGACACGAAAGACGGCGAATGGCTACGATGTAGACAGCTATTGCACTGCACGGTCTGTCGCCGGTGCCAGTGCCAGGCCCAGATTCATCATTCAGCGACTCAGGTCGTCGTCATGATAGCATCAGTTTCAGCGGAAAAGTTGGTAACACCGATCTGCGCTCCAATAGCAGTCATTAATTATTGCCTTTTGCTGTGCTCTAGAGGTACAGTAGCCGAGACGTTAATTATCTAAGATCTCATGCTCGCATAACGCGAACTGTCAGTATTCGGACGGCTCATCGTCACTGAGAGTGCAAGGATGCGTTTGGAGCGCAGCCAGCCTGTTGGTGATAGAGACAGACGAGGAGGGTGAAGCTCAGCCTCGGCCATCTGGACGGGAGCGCGAGGCTTTAAAAGTGGTTTTGCTTCGACGATACCTAGGTACTATGTATGTGCCACTTCTACATGAGGCCGCATACATAATGTACTTATGTGATCTTTCCGAAGTGGCTCTCGCAGTCATCCATCCAGTTCACAAGGTTGCACACTGTCAAGAAGACCAAGACGCCATGGATACCGTGTATGGTAATTATCAGTCTTTGGTGCACCACCATTTGACTTTGAAACTTTCGCATGTTCATGCGACACAGGAAAACTCCGACGCGCCCGATCGATGGCTGCATCACAGTAGAACTGCCGAATGTCTGAAGCTAATATGCGTGGCCAGTTGTTGTCGAGTCACCGAATGCGTTAGGGCATCTGCGCACTTCCCTCCATCTCACTGAGACGCAGTAGCTTTTGGAACATGTAGATTTCAAGCACCGATGATATAGCAGATACAGCGGTGTCAATGCATGACCTCAGGGATTGGGCCCTATCCTTTTCCAGATATTGATCCAACATGCTCTTGATAAAAAGCCATGCATGGGGACACATAGGTATTTCGTACCGCACTTGAGGTTCGCGCACCCGTCTGTCTGGCAACGCGGTGTCCCAGATGGCAGACTTGGTCCGTGTGTTGGTCTCGTTCCCGCGCGGCACCCTGCTTCAGCCTTGTCCCGTCAATGCCAGCCTTGCGGACAAAGTTTGGACTCCACACACCGCCTTTTCGGCACAGCAGCGCCCAGGCCAGCCTGAGTGAACCTGCGCCCGACTGATATATGTGATCTGATCACGCGTACCTTCAGGCAGAGACAAGGAACAAAAGACTGGTGGCGGTGTGCATCGAACGCGCTTTGGGCGAGTTCCTCCGTGTTCGCACCTGCGCCGTAGTTCTGCTCGGGCATGCCAGTCACCTGGCTGGATCGTGCCGGCCCTTCCAAGTCGATGCGTCCCGAAAGGGCAAATCCCGCAATGTGCAACTCTGCGTGCACGTCGGTATCCACTTGTGCTGCGCTTCGTAGGCAGACAGGCTAATTTAACGTCCGCAATATCGAGCAATGTTGTTTCGACTTCAGCCCTGCCCGGGCACACTACACAGTACACACTCCCTTGTAACGGTCCACACCATAACGACCGAGCCTCCTGAATGGAGCATTTATCGATGACCGGTATAGAAGCTGCGGCTGGCAAGGCTGGCAAGGCGGAAGGTCTGTCACGAATGTGAAGAATGAGAACATGCTGAGAGTTCGCGGGGTTCGAATGCGACTCAGGACGCCTGACGTAGTTGTGCCGCGATTGCCGGGGTTGAAAGACCAGACCATCCCTCGGATATCGTGGAGACGGAGAAAGATGATGACCTGGTGTGCTTAGTTCTTCAGTCGATATCTTGCCAGCACGCAGGTCAGGCGGTCGACGGTTGACGGTTGTTGCGTGCCCAAACACCATCTTCAAGACCGGTCAGCCAGCGAAGTTGATGCACGAGCTAGACAGGGTTCTGCGCCGAGCCAGTTGTCACCATGGCACCACCCAAGACGGCACTGCTGGTCGTCGACATGTAGGTGTTTTTCGAATCCATGACGACCGCTGCCCTCCCACACATCATCAAGCTATGCGACCACGTTGTGAAGACATCGGCGCCCATCGTCTTTACCAAGCACGGCCACCCCCGATCCGAGATGGTTGCGCACTCGACAAGTCAACCTTGTGCGAAAATGGGGGCGTCAATGGTCCGATTGGAGAAGGGTCGGCAGAAGGGGAGATCGTATCAGAGCTGCAGAAATTTCTGCCCAAGGCGAACAAGACGCCGACCATTGGCGAATCGCTGCCGGGGCCCGAGTCTCCCGAGTTTCCCAAGCTCTTACCGAAGAACACGTATGACGGCTTCATCAACACGCCGTTGTCGAACGTGCTGGAGAATGCAAAGGTCGAGCGTGTGATTGTCTGCGGCGTCATGACCGATTGCTGCTGTGATACCACGGCTAGATCGTCTTTCAACCGCGGCTATGAGACATGGCTTGTAAGTGATGCTTGTGGCTCGGCGAACAAGACACAACACGAGGCAGGTCTAAAGGGATTCTGGTTCGCGTTCGGCGAGGGGATGAAGACAAACGAGGTGATATCGATGCTCGATGAGTGAAGCTGAACCTCTGATGGAGGGTTGCAACTTACAGAGACTGGGCGGTTTTGGGCCCTGTCAGGGGGCTTAGTACGGAGTACAGTAGGAGCGCATTGGAGCAACGGCTTGGGCTTCGGCTCGCCGTTCGGCAGTTGGAGTTCCACAGTACTGTATGTACTGTGTGCGCCTGCGAACACAAGATCCTGCCTGTTACTGTTTTCTGTAGAAGCATACAAACAATGTCACTCACTTTCCTTACTCGAAAGCCGCTTGTCACGGGGACACTCATGCTGGAAAGCAGCCGCTACCGTCGTGGGGATATGGATCCTGTTCAGGTCTGGTGTTCGTTGCTCACGCAGGGCTGCATCATAGTGGCTGTTCACCCCGGTGATTCGAATGGCACAAGAGCAGCAACCCAGCCCAAGGCAGAGACCCCAGCTCCTTCTTCGCTCTAATGAAATACCTGCGGACGAAAACAGATGAGAAAGCGCGATCGGTCTCTCAATCGGTCTCTCGATCGCAACGCTCATCCAGGTAACCAAAATCATGTGGTCAAGGACCAGCTTCACGTCCACTCTTTACTACTCAGGCAGGAGCGAAGCATGTCAACGAAAGCACTAGTCGGTCAACAGCACGTGGGCAAAAGCTTAAGAGATCGAGAAAAGTCATCCTTGCTACGTACGCCTTACACGTGCCTTTCCAGTGAAGAACGCTCTCTTACTGACCTCCTAGCCACCCCATCAGGACGTACTACCACTTCCACATCCATTTGAGTTCCCAACAAAGACAACCAGCACGGCAGCAAAGGCCGCCGAAGCCGCAAAGACCTGCGCTCTCTCGGGCCTCGCAATAAGCGTCAGCGTCGTGGAGAAGAGCAGGGTACAACAGATTATGGCGGCCATCCTGGTCACCTGGTTGTTGATTAGATAGATTCCAAAGGCTGCAATCGTCGGCAGGATGGAGGCTAAGATGGTGCTTAAAGTGTCGATGATTCTGGTGATGTGACTGTCGGGGTAGTTGACGATAGGCCTGCGCATGCCTGCGCTCCCCCATGACTCGACGACGGAGAGCGGATCGTGAAACTTGTGACCGACGTGCTTGTGATAGACTGACCTCACCATCTTGTCGATGAATCTTGAGAGTGCATCTTTGTCCGTGTAATGGCCGGCCAACGAGGTCAGGTCGTCGAAGTGTTCTTCCTCCCAGGTCTCGAACTCGCGCCCACGGAGCCAGACGTCTCCACTCCCATCGCTCTTCTCGGTCAATTCGCGAACAATTGACCAGTCGGCCTTGTTCGCGGGAGCGAGTTGACAAAGACGCGCAAATTGGAGTAGAGCTTTGTCTGGTAATGTGTTAGAAAAGACTCGGGGTTTATGAATAGAGCGCACTCGCTGTATTCCTTGAGAAGGGCACGTAGCTCGAGAGTTCTTTGATACTGTAGACCGTCTTCCCGGCTCTTATGAGGACCTTTCAGGGCTCTTATATCATATTCAAACAGATTCCGCTCGCCGTCCTTTGCTTCGCGGTCCTTCCTAATCGTTAGGCGTAGTGCGTGCTCAAGATTGACGATCTCGGCCTGCATGCAGAGAAGGTTGCGTGCGTTGAGGATCAGAAATCTCCTGAACACCGCAAGAGACGGATCAGTGCCAATGTATCCAGCGAGAGCATTGTACCCGTTCATTTCGTTCATGCTGGGCGGTGTGAACGGGTCCTTTGCCAGTGTCTGAGGCGGAAGGGCCAAAGGCAGACCACGGCGCAGCTCAGCAATGCGGCCGGTGTCATTGTGGAATGAGGCTGCACCCTCTTGCGGCAGGTCAAGCAGCGGTGTGCTGGCAACAGGACTGCATGCTGGTCCCCAGACCGTCGACCCTGTGTGAGCCAGTAGGATGGAGGGCGACGGTAGCGGGCAGTGAAGGAAGGACAGGAGACGAGTCAGACGCTGCTGAGGCGGCCTCGCCTGCAAGCCACCTTCCGCCAGACCATCCACGCCAGTTAGTTCATGCAGAGGCCCAGGGAGTGTGGTACTGAGGGCGAATTAAGCCGATCATGCTATCATCGAGGCTGCCAATGACATGGAAGAGAGTCGGGTAGCAGATGGGGAACTGTCTCCAAGCCAGGAGCGAGATCGATTGGCCCCCGTGAGAGTGTCAGATGCAGGACAAAGGACAGGTATCCTGTTCACGACAGACAGACGTGCCGGCAGCTACTCCATATATTACTTCTGCCGGGGAGCTCTCTGTCTTTGAGTTTCTTTTCCTCCCTGCCCGGATTTCCCGGGTGCCCGACGACCTCGATCAAGTCAGTTCTGTTGGTGCAACATGTGGTCATTGTGCGTTAATGCGCCTGTCACAATGTGATAAACCATCCAGATATCAAGTCCGGAACTTCGCAGCGCAAGCAAGCCAGGACCAGGACAAGACAAGACAGTCAGCTGGCAGATTGCACCTCCAGCCCAGCCTGGATTCGAGGCTTTGAGATGGCTCGTGGCCGCTGGCATCCGATATCACGAACCCGGAACAAGATTTTCGCAAGATTTTCTGCTCTTGCATTGAGCTTCGTCTCCGAATTCACGGTCATCTGAACAATGTGAGATCTGGTGGCCGCTGGAATTGCCGTGGGCCTTGTTTGTGCACCGTGCTTACCGAACGATCAGTCAGTCAGTCACCGCCACAGCCACAGCCACAGCCACAGCCACAGCCGGCGCCACAGTGGCGGCGCTGGCTGCGGAAGGCGCGCGACGCCTCTTACTGTAACTAACTTGACGCGATCAAGCGCAAGCATGCCCCCCAAAATTTGCAAGCGCAGGGCATGTCTCCTGTGCGATGGATCTTCTTCTCCTCAGAATGGCGACAAGAACAGGCTCACGCGCTGCCGGCCTGCGAAAAGTCGGTATCTACACTCGAGCCCTGCGCTCCAGCTTTGTCGGTTTTTGTTGAGCGGCCCAGGGCACCAAGGCAGACAGGACCGAAGCAAAAGTCCGCCAGCCTCCAGAACCCGTTGCGCCTAGTTGGATTCTAGCGTTGCATCTGCAACGCCTCCCCGAGCACCTAAGAGGTCCCCCGGGGCCGCGAGCCTATCGAATTTTCAGGTGGGTTTCACGTATCGACCCGTGGCCACTTCCGCGAATCCGTTAGCGAGAGCCACAGGGCGGAAAAACAGTCTCAAACGAGCAGGAAGACACTGGGCCGACGCTGTTTCAATCGTGGACGAATGTCGACGTGATGGGCAGCTCGCGACTCTATACACTACCGCGTCTTGTTGTTCGAAGCTCCAGCCTCCAGTCTCTAGCCTCCAACCGTCGACCTCCCAACTCGTCCCTGGAACAGCTTTTCGCTCACCTGGGAGCGCCAAGGAGCTGATGAGCCGAGAAATTTTCATGGCACTTCCAGTCGACCTGCAGCTGGAAATCCTCGCAAACTGCATTTAACTTCACGCTTTCTTCGCCATTTCCTTTTCAGGATGCGTCTGGCGCGCTTTCGTCGTGTTCACCACCCTTTACTATCCCCAAAGCCGCGATTTTTGGACATTTTCCGCAAGCAGGCTCCCTGTCCTTGCAGCGGGATCGTCATCCGAACATGTCTTTGCATTCTTTTGGACTTAGCTCAGCTGCGCGGTCCTTGGGATTCTGGGCGGGCTCGCGCAGCGTAGTGAGTCTTCCAAGGCTCAACCGACAGCAGAGGGAAACTCGGTGTGAGCGCGAAGTCCGTTGCATTCCCAGTCTTGCTATCAGAACGGTAAGCTCTGTCTGCTCTCTGCTCTGCCGCTAACTGCTCGTGTCCCATCATCTTCTCTTCCGTTCAACGTCTGCTTAGAATCGCTGTTGTCTACTACTGCGCTGCCTCCAGATCTCAAGACTCAGATACATCCATATTCACTGTCCTTTGTGGCTCCTTTCTCAGCGCGATCCATTCTGCTGGTTGGCTAGCCTCGCTGCGCCCGTACAAGCTTCGCATCATGGGCTTGAAACTGTTTATCAAAACCACGCACTCTTCCGCCCAAGCCATGGTCGTCGAACTATCCACCCTTCACCAATCAAATGGCAAGGACGAGGTAGTGAACATCTGCCTGCAAGAAGCTTCGGAGTTCCAGAGCCAAGTTGTGATCCCTGGTCGCGAGCACACAGATCAAACCGTGCACGTGCTGACGGAGCAACATGTTGATATTGGGGGTGAAGCACAGAATTCCAGAAAGATCACGGGTCAAACCAGCACGTATGTAGAGCCGTTGGACCTCCAGCGGCGTGAAAGGGGTTCTCGGCAGCCGCAAGGCTGTGGCTCCAACTGTGGCCATGGCGGCAACGTAGGGGTACGGCCAAACACGGAACCATTGCTCCTCCGAGTGTATCTGGCGGGCTGTAGCACTGATGACGCTGCCGACAAGGGTGTTGCGGCTGGGCAGCCAGTAGCAGTCACCCCTGCTCCACATCTGAATGGGATGGTGTCCGGGTTCCAGGCGACACCAGTAAATCCATGTTCACCACACCCTGTTGCTGCACGCTGCGAACCTCTGTCTTGTGCCGCCGCACACCCCTGTCCCCCTCCCTGTCTGTCTGCCGGCCCCGGTCATGGTGCCCAACCCCAAGCCGCCAGCCATCCTGGGGGTGGCAGAGCCTGTGAGTCCTCCTCGTTCATCGGCGTAGTGGGGACTTCGATCGCGCCGCAGGCGAGCGAAGCGGATCAGCAGGCCACGCTCAAGCAGAGAGTCAAGAAGTTCCGAGGGATCCCGTTACTTCTGCGCAAGCTGGACGGCGACACCATCAAACCCACAGCGACAACGGACACAGGTTCCGACAGCAACGTGATAAGCAAGGCCCTGGTCGACCTGCTCGGAATCCATCTCAACAAGAACGGTGGCGCCACCACCACTACTCAGTTGTCCGTTCTTAACGACATGAAAGCGGACACTCTGGGCACGGTGGATCTAGAGTTCTCGGTGTTCTGCAACGGGACCCAGATGCGCAGGCTCTTCCATGTGGTCCAAAAAATCGGGGCCCATCAGATGCTTCTCAGCGCCGAATTGACCATGGAGCTTGGCCATTTCTACCGCCTGCCGTGCAAATGCCACGCGTAATGGTCGGATAACACAGCAGTGCCCCTCTCGAGAGCGTGAGAAGCCGGCCGAGCCTCTTTGGCAATCTGACCGGTGAAGGGATGAAGCGCGATAGCCTCTCTCACAGGGGTGTCATGACCCTGCCCATATTACCCCTTGTTGGACAATACGTATATGCGAGTTCGATCGGTCATGACACCCTGTGACGTGGCAATGCTGGATCATGGATAGGATGCTCGCAGGATTCGCTCCTACGGGTCAAAGTCGCCTTTTTTTTTTTGGTTGTCTTTGTCTTGTTTTGTCGTACACACCAGTGCCATGGTGAGGGAAAAAAAGAAAAGTCAGATACATCTGCATGTTAAGGGACGGGTTTGCTGGCTGGCTTGCTGGCTCGCCCACACACTCATTCACTCACTCACTCACTCACCGACTTCTGCTCCTCCTCCTGCTCCTGCTACTGATGAATGCTCTTTCGTGGCCTCGAGGTGGTCGTCGTCCGGGCCATCGGCTCGTAGGCTCTCTCGACTGGAACCAGAGTGGCACACCTGATACCCAGGCCCTGCAACGACTGGACCTGTCTGCGCCCTGCGGCCTGGCCTCTGCCCTTTTACCCTTTGCCCTCTGGCATCATGAAGCGACAGTGGGTTTAGGATCCCTCGCGCATCGTCGGGCACGTGCGACCGCGGCCAATTGGCGTATCCTAGCTCTCGTGCCTTAGACTTAATCCCGTGTCACCCGGGTCGTTGTGACGCGCCATTGTGAACGTGATAGGGCCCTTAGCAGACACCCCAGTCAACAGCCGCCCCTTGTTCCAGTTCGACTGCCCAAGTGCCTCTGAGAAAAGGCAGGCTGAGGGCGCAGGACAACACCCGTTGATCGGCAGCCAGAAAGCCAGCCAGCCAGCCAGCCGTGTCGTGGGAAGATGCCGTTGCCTTACCACTTTACGAAAGCCGCCTACCTACCTGGGTCGGTCGGTGAATCGGTCAGTCAATCAGCAAGCTGGCCGCTCTGCTATATTGATGATGCCCTTCCCACCCACCCCCCCCTCCCCCTTTTCTGATCTTTTCAGCCTCGTTGTGGTCGACGGAACTTAGCTAGAAGACCAGTAACCCCAAAGCCAGGCGGACAATTACTTCCAGTACATAGTTAGCAGGAACCCCATGGCCGAGTCACCCCGGCAGGCAACGGCAGAGGCAGAGGCAGAAGCAGAGGCAGTGGTAGAGGCACAGACAGAGCCGTCACTGCTACCGCAGGAGCTGGTCCAGCTCTGGTGCTCCGACACGCACGTCCCGGACCCGGTGCCTGCTCCCGCGGCCATAGACCCCCGATCGCCATGCAACACCATCACGCTGCAGGAGATGACCCGACTCCTGGGCCCGGTGCACTACGTGCGCGCCGACGACAACAACAACAACAACAACCCGCATCGGCACCGCGGGCTCGTCGGCACGAAACTCCTCCAAATCGAACACGCCGAGGTGAGCGTACTGAGGCAGGAGGTCTTCTGCGTCGTGGCCGACGCGGCATGGCCGATCGTGCTGAACAGGTCGATGAATGTCGTCAACGCGGGGCCTGAGATCCATGTTTTGGGCGGCGGGGCCGTCGTCTCCAAGGAAGGTACGTATGTACGAGTCCGGAGTCCGGAGTACAGACAAACGTTGGGGGTTTCCCCTTCGTCCTGTTAGACCTCCTACCCACCTTCACCTACCTCGCTCCGTACCCTTCTCCCCGGCAAGGCTGACCCGTTCAACTAACTTGGCCGAAGAACAACGACGGAAGGAAGAAGCCCGCGCCCGGGCCAAGAAGAGAGAAGAACAACGAATCAAGGAAAGAGAAGGAAAAGGCGGGGAAGATTACATAAACGACGAGAAGGACAGGAAGTTGCTCAAGCAGGGATCACAGGGGGAGGGATCACAGGGCCAGGGACAGGGACAGGGACAGACGCAGACGCAGACGTGCACGCAGACACCGAATCAAACCCAAACTCAAACGCCGACTCAAACGCAGACGCCGTCCACATGAGCATGAAATCTTACTGCCTTCTCATGCTGAGCTCACAATTTCTGGTCCCTTGGCTTAATACCCGGCGTGGGTCGGACGGGTGGATATGTAGGGAGGGTAAAGGAGGGTAGGATAGGTAGGGGGGCCCTTTTTCAAAGCGTGGTCATCTAATTACTTACCGTAGCTCGGTAGAAACGCACCAGATAGTTGATGAACCGGTTAGATGAATAGGTAAAAGTATCCCGTACTCGGTCATTGTTCTTCTGTCATGTCGAACTTGTGTATATAAAAGTAGGGGGAGAGCCGGGATTTTGTCCTCCCGCCCCATCCACACGCACACGCGTCATGATAAGTACGGGAAGGTTTTGGACCATGAGAGTCGAGCTCCACGACAGAGACCGTGGCTGAGACCAACAACCAGAGGACGCGGTCAGGATAAGCAAGACGTTCGTTCTGTGCCTCGTCCTAAGCGGCAGGTTAGTCGAGCACGTGCGTCGTACAGTACCGTACCGTAGATGGCACGGTCGACGGTGCAGGATCTCGTCTTCCGTACTCCGTACTATGCGCGACTCGTGCGAAAAAAATTCAACTCCCGTACGGGTTACAATACGATGGCATTAGGAAAGCGTGAGCAAGGAGCAACGTCGTTCCCGTTCTGATTACGTTTGACGGGCCCAGTACTCCGTACGGTATCAGCATTTTGCCCCAGCCGGCTTACAGTTATTCCAGGGGCCGCAGCCTTGTGAGCTTTTGTCTGACTTCAGCCTTCCGGCAGTCCAGGCTGGCCTGGCCGTTCATGACAATATCCGAGTATGTGGTACATACTCGGTGCTGTGGCATCTCCTGGTCGATCGTCAGAAGATCGTGGTGCACCGTGGGGGCGCTAGAGCTCGTGTAGACATACGGTGTACGTTGGGATGTTACACGAGTGCTACTCGCTACATACCCAGGGACCTAGCTAGTCAGTCAGTACTGTACTACGTACTACGTGCTCCGTACATTCGGGTTTCACTTATTTACCTGGTAGGCCTGAACTCGACGTGCCAGGAGGAGTCGCCTCGGTGGGGCGGGACGGGGACGGAAATCGAACACATGTAGCTCCCCTCTTCGACTTGCAGCCTCAACGAAAACCCACGTAGTTAATTTACTTACTGATTTTTTAACTCTTCAAAGATTCCGCCTCCAAGTACTACGGTCTTACCCCGTAATGGCCTCTCGAAACACACCCTGGATCTAATGCAAGTCCAAAAACGGCAGCACTCCCTTCTACATACAGCACTGAACTTACTAACCCGTTAAAAATGCATCCACATAATGAATAACAGTAGCTCGTGGTATGACTATATTGGCCGAGTGGAGCGGCGAGGGACCACATAGCGTGTTTCAATAGACGATTTCAAGGGTAGACCGTAGTACTCTACACGAGGATATGCAAAGAACGAAATACTCATACCTCTAAGGCACAGACAAGAAAATCGCCGGAGAACAAAAATAAAAGGACTTCCACGCAACACACGCCCTACCGCACCAGGTTCCGCGGGCGGTAAGTCTCTAATCACATAACCAGCACGCCGTTTGTTGCGGACTTATCGGCGAGAGGGTGCCATGAGTACTTGAGCATACAGCTAAGCAAGAATGCAAACAAGCAAATTAGTACACAATGTCAGTACGTAAGTATCAGTGGTGTCAGTGTCCAGCCCGGGCGGGTTCTGCTGCGGAGAGTAGGTAGGTACAGGTACCTAAGTAGAATGTGATACAGTACGGAGTACAGAACAGGACAACGCAGCGCACGCGCCGGCGTCGGCGACGATTACTCACGCACAAGGGAGACCATGGATCAAACCAGCTTTTGTACTGTGATGTGATTGATCGAAGTGCATCTACTGCTCGTGATCTGACGGATCATCCATTTGACTTGCCCGACCTGCGCGTGTAGTCATTCCTGCGAGCGAAATTAAACAATCCATCCAGCATCACAGTATCATGGTGCATCAGATGCGCAACAGAGCGCGTTTTCACTTTTGCCTTCGCTTTCGTTGTGGGGTGGAGCGCGCTATACAGGAGGACAGACGCCAATCGCCACGCCTACCGCCCGCAGTAGCGATACGGACTTTTCGTGGAACCTGAGCTGTCTTGCATCATCACGGACACATGCACCGACTTGAGGACCCTGCATGATCGAAAGCACATCCATGGGCGATGGCGAAGCCGAGACAGACTCGAATTAATCGGTCTGGGTGAAGAAGACGGCAACGAGCCCTTCGCCCCTATTAGCATCGGAGCCAAAACTATTGCAGAACCTGACCAAAAGCGTGGCATCTGCTATGAAAGAATTCTCGCTCACGGAGCCGAACACCTGTGATTCCGAGGAAGGAGCTGACAAAGGAAGGAAAGGCCAGCCAGCCGGGCGAGAAATACTCGGTGGAGCAAGCATTTTTACCTCCGGCAGTAACCTCCACCACAACCATCCGGCGATCCAAGAACAAGGTGCCGGGCCAAGTCGGTGGTCGAACGTGGTCACGAGGTTGCCAGCGTCATTCCTCGGTTGCGATAAAGATGACTATATCAATCGAGGATGAAAAGCCGGAACAGAACGTGCCCAGAAGTCTCAACAGGGAGGATCAGCCCGCAATCACAGTGTGAGAGTGAGATTGTCGCAGCGACCAGAACGAGTGGTATTCCCAACAACGCCACCGTTCCCGGCATCCGGTGAAGATTCCAAAGCTGCGATATCGTTGTCTCACAAGCTACCGCAAACATACTGGCCGACACTGGTGGACAAACTCGTCAAATACGCGCTCGCTCGGGGGGGAGTCGATATAGCTCTGCAGGGATCCATCACGGCGCTGATTTCACGCACACCGATCGCCTTCACAGGCAAACGGGTGATAGCCTTGACAGGCAAACGGGTGATAGCCGAGACGGCTTCTGTGGCAAGACTGCACTGCACCTCACCACCAGAGGCAGCTCCCACTGATCTCAGCTTAATCATCTTTGACATCAATCTGTGCGACGTCAAGTCGATGGCAGAGGCGTAGAATTCCGCCTCTGGGAGTCTTCGGGCATTTTAGGCTTTTGAGGTTCCGAGACACAAAGCTATTCGGACTCGCATCGTCGCGCTCACGTGTTTCTCATTGGTGAGCCGCTCGTCGTTCGACAATATCGACGGCAAGGTAGGTATATTCGGATTCTGTAACGATGCTCGTCGAAAGCTAATCTGGAAGCATCGCAGTGGATTCCAGAAGTATTGTGCTTCCGTCAAGACATACCCGTCGTTCCGGTCGGGACGATGAGAGAGTGCAGGGACAATGGCCATCGGAGTGCATACGGCCAGACTATTGGGGATCCTGAAAGCCCAGTATCTCGAAAAGAAGGGGATATTTGCTCAAGAAGACCACGGCGTATGACACGTGGAGTGCTCCGCGAAGGCTGACGAAGGGCCTCGCCTGGTCTCCAAACACGCTGCCCAGGCGGCGCCGCTCTGCTCGACAAACCAAAAGGGTGCGACGATCTTGATGATGCTGGCGAGCTCTTGGGGAGATCAAAAATGCCACAGCCACTCGTCCGCATGGAGTATGCTAGACCACATACGCAGAAACCGAAAATCCCCCTTCAAGCCATGATGTGCTCCGTCTAGACCACGGGAGAGGTTGGCAGAGTCGATTTTGTTGTACATAATGACTGTCCGATTTGTTGATTCCTTATCGAGCTCTGAAGCGTGCAGCTGTCCAATACTTGGGGTATCATATCCTGTCGTGTGGGTTTTGCCGGAGCACTCGTCACGCGGCCACTTGATGGCGCCTCTAACGCCGGCGCTGAATTAAAGAGCCATACCGCCGTTTAAATAGTGCTCGCGTGCTATACATTGTTTTTCAATATTTGACCCTTCCCAGTGTCGGTTTCCAGTCCAACGGATGCGTCTCCGGCGTGGCCTTCGGATCCGGACCCCAGATTTTGATCGTCTTGTCCGCTTCACCCATGATCAACCTCAGGCCTGTCTGATCAAACGTGCTGCTCATAATGCCGGCCTCTGCATCCAAAGAACCCGGCTGGGCGAGCGACTCGGTGCTCTGGAACCGATGCCCTGTCTTCCAGTCCCAGAAACAGATACTGCCGTTATCGCCGCCGCTGAAGAGCACGTTCTCTTCATTCACGGCGAGTGTGTTGATGATGGCGTTGTGGCCGTCGAAATTCTGCATGAATGCCCCCTCGGGACATTTCCACTGCTTGATCGACCCGGCCGACCCAGACGCGAACGTGAATTCCTTAGGGTGGATGGCTAGTGCGCGCACGCCCTTTTTGTGATGGGTCAGGACGCCCATCGTCTTGCCGGCGGCAAGATCCCAGAGGCGCACGGTAGAATCGAGGCTCGACGAGATGACCTGGGGGTCTGCTTCCTGGCATTTGACGTCGCTGACGGTGCCCTTGTGACCGGAGAGGACGTGGATGTTGGAGCGCGTGCGCATGTCCCAGACGCGAGCGACGCCGTCTCGACCGCCCGTCACGAGGACATCGAGCGTCGGATGCAGAGACAGAGTGTACACGCCGGACAAGTGGCCGTGGTAGTGGCGAATGACCTTGTTGGTCTCCAGATCCCAGCATTTGACCATCTTGTCCTCGCCGCACGAGAAGAGGTACGGATGCCGCGGCGAGACGGCAAGGCCCCGAACCGTCGAGATGTGTCCCGTCAAGGTCAGGCGCAGTTGTCCCGAGGCCAGATCCCAGATCTTGATGGTCCTGTCTCCTGCGCCGGACGCGAACCATTGGTTCCCCGGTTCGACTGCCAGTGCGCGCACCCAGCCCAAGTGTCCTGAGATGACTCTCATCAGTTTCCACGGCGCGTGCCACTCCGGACGAGGTTGCTGCATGTTCGGTCGGCGGATCAGACTGTTGCCTGTGCCGGGCGTCTGCCGCGTCGGGTCTTGTGTATCTGGACTCGCCTCGCTCTTGACCAGTGCCATTTGGTTGTTTGCAGCCGCCGCCATCTTCGGTCTCTTGGGTCCTCGTGCGGCGGCGGCTTTTGCCTGTTTCTCGGCGAGCGCCTTGGGTAGTTCGCGGACAGATTCATATTCGACTTTGCGCTTGAACGAGGTGGAGATGGCGAGAGCGCTCGGCTCGGTGGCTTCGCCAAAGCTGTTCCCGAAGAGGGCTCGCGTGCGCTCCGTCAGAGCTTGCGCCGTCGCCGCCATATCTGCCGTAGTGGAAACAGGAAGTTCTATGAAGACAACTGAACATTTCTTAAGCGACTGGCGGAAAATGTCCCAAACCTGCCAAGACAGAAATGACCCTTTTGGGACAAGTGTGACGCCGCCTTGTCCGTGCATGCAGCCTCATGGCGCGGCGAGCCCGGGCAGCAGCCTTGCTGTCGAGGAGACTCCGGTTACACAGTAGATACGGAAAGTCACGTCGGAGGCAGTCGAACTCGGCCGATATGGGAACAGACGAGGGATGTATGTTAGTATGTTACGGGGTGCAGTCATTCCTCAACGGTACCTCACGGGTCATGGATGATAGATGTTTTTGTCGCAGTAGGGAAGAAGTTCAATCGACGTAAAAGTTACGTGCATTGACCTGTCTGGGCATCCCTCTTCCCTTTCCTTATCCCATTTGCATTCTCAGCTGGGGTATCATGGCGGTAGTGGTACTGGTCAAAAGTCACGAGAAATGAAACCCTCCATTCTGGCCCATTCAACGCCTCGCTGTGCCCGTGCCTGTGCCTGTGCCTGTGCGATGTCTGGCATGCTCAATCCCTCCGGTGATGCCAAACCAATATAGACTGTCTTCGGGATTTCTATTCTTGCTAGGGATCAACCTCGAAGAAGACCCCTCACTGCCGTGAAACTGGGGCTGTCATCCAAAGGCAGGGCTTTGTGCCCTCATCTCTAGTGATTCCTCATCTCTAGTGTTTCGTGTCGTCGCATTCAAATCTTCCAGTCATACTCCTCGTAGTCGTTAATCATGGTGAATGTATTCAGGACGTGACCTTGGAGGACCTGAATTTCCAGGGTCCAGTGAACCAAGAGCCCTTCTTGTCCCAGTTCCAGTCGCCTTTCGTTGCGGACTTCAGGTCGTCCACGTTCAAATAGTCGACGCCTTCCTTGACGAGTGTGCGCCAGAGGTAATTCCGCATACCTCGTGGCCAGCTGGGAACGCTCCAATATCGGACCTTCAGCCCGCGGGCATGGGCGCCGGCAATCTGTCTGCGCAGCGTCTCGACTTGCTTGCGGGAGAGGGAGCCGCGCCACGGCCAGCCGACGGCACTCCCGAAAGCCACAGACGCGTAGTACGAGTTGGCCTGAGAGTACAATGCGGGATTAGAGGGCGCCGCACCGGAGCGACCTTGGCCTTGATTAGAGCCACGCTCGGTCAACACGCCATCTTGGCTGTCGAAGGGCGCAGTGCCGCTGCTGCCGGGGTCTGCCACTTCGGCCATCAAGTCCAGGGGTGCGTCAAAAAACATATCCCGATACGTGGGGTTTGCGACGACTTCTTCCCAGGGGGCGTTTCCCGTGACAACCACCGTGACAGGTGCTTCGATGAAATTGGTCCCATTGAAGTAGCTGAGCATCTTCCTCTCGCGGAGTGGCTCCAGCTGTTCCGAGACGTATGGCCAGAGACGGTGGCCCTCGGTTTTGAAATCAATCAGCAACACCAACGTCTGGGACGGGTCCGTGTCGAAGACTCCATTCCGAGGTGTATCCAGCGTCGGGTGGAAGGAGGTGTGGGGGTTCTGAGAGTCGAGGATCTTCACCAACGGGTTGACGTAGAGGTTGCGCAGTGTCCTCTCGGGAGTCAGGGACGCGGTCGAATGTCCAACGTACAGCTCTTCATCGTATAGCCACACATCCGCCTCGACTCCCGTGCAGCCAGCGTCCAGTGCAGAGAACAGAGGCTCTTTCCGCCAGTAGTCGTTGTGAGAGTGGCAGGCCACAGGGTGGACGTCGGCCGAGAAATCGGTGGGCCAGTGTCCCAGCTCTTGAGAGAAGGCGCGGCCGGCGCCATTCCAGCCGTCCAAGCCGTCGTCCCCGTCGTCCGGGAAGAACGAGAGGAAGAGCCCGCACGTCAATGCGATGACTTCTAGAATACCCCTACATGACGCATCAGAATCAGCACAGTCAGCTGCGAGTTGTTGGGGGCAAATTTCTCACAATATCATCAGGGCAAAAGCCAACAGGCGCAGGATTCTCTTCAGCGGGGTGGTAGGAAGCGATTTGTACAACGGGCTCCGGTCAGCAGTGTGCTCCTTGTGCGCCGCCGCCGGGTGTCTCCCTCGGAGCAATTCTCTCAACGATGGTATGGCCGCTGTCCAGCGCCATTTGGGGGGAAAATTCGACGCAGTCAGATCGTCAAAGGACGGTGAGGTTTCGAGACGGGTGCAGGTGACTGTGGGCCCCTTGAACGCATCGGGTCGGTCGGCAGCAGCGTCGGTGAAGGATCCATCTTCGAGTGTCGGACACTTGAGGAACGTCTGTTCCTGCCTCAAGAAAGGCACGCGCTCGGGTTGGACTGAGGGTTCTTTATGGGCCGCCGCATTCGTGCCATTGCTGCGGAATGGCCGGAAGGGCGGGGATGGAGGCATGCTGCCTGCCTAGGTAAGCCTGGGGCGCAGGTGCGACGACGCCTGAGGCCCCTGGAACGCCCGAAAGGTGGCTAGCGCAGGCACACCACAGGCGTGCCTGGGAGATGCTCGCTTTCGATTGAGGCCCCGCAATTCGTGGGTAGCCGAAAAAAGCTTCACCGCCAACTGGCTGTCATTGCATGGTCGCAGTGTTCTTGGAGACTGGCTGAGCTCAGCAGGCGATGCGCAATATGTCGTCGTTGGGAGGAGATAGGTAATGACTGGGGCCTCGAGCAGGGAGTTTCTTCGTGTAAGACAAGTGGCCTAAATAAAATACTGGTGTAAGGTGAATGGCCGTGAAAAGAGCCGTCGCTCACTCACTCACTCACGCACCGAACAGAAGAGACGCAGACCGAGGTGGTGGGGATGCTCGACGGATATAACGAGCGGCGCCACAGGTTTGCTTCGCAGTTCCGAGATGGACGGTATCTTTGGCAGAGGGACCAAGAGATCCGAGTGAGTAATAGGCTCAACGACCAGAAAGGGCAATTACTGTGTACTGTACAGTAGGTAGTGAGCCGTGGACGAGGGGATTGTGACGGTCGCAGCTTTTAGTTTATCCTCTGCGCTGCCGTGTGCCGGCAGGATTTGTATTCAGCAATGAAATCCTTGAGCTCTCTTCAGTTGCTCGTGCTCGTCCTGTACACAATTAATCTGGTCGATCACGCTCTTCACTGCCCGGTCACGGTCAGATGGTTCCTCAGATGGCGACCTGTCTGTTGAATGCCCGCGCATCTCGTCCCTCGTCCCCGTCCCGTCGCATCCCATCGCTTCTCCCACATGCCCTCCACTTCCCCTCCCTATTGGATGACGCCACTACTCCTCCCAGCCCGCTCATCACGCCGGTGCCACCATCTCGTCTGCTCTCTTATCCGCGCTATCGGGCACTTTGTCTGTTAGTGAAGCCGCCAGAGACCACATGAGCTTCTTCACCTTGTCTTCACAGACCTCTCGTTCGACGCACGTTGGTTCGTTCGAGCTGCACAGGCAATGAGGGCAACGAGTCAACAAAGCAAACCGCCGTGACTCCTCCGCCAATCCTTTCTGCGCGTGCTTCTATACTTTGGGAACCCTGATTTCCTGAGCATCTAGAAAGCCATTGAGGTCATGCCAAGCACCTCTCCTACCCTGCATTTCTCCGCCTGTCACGTCCACCCAGCCACCGCTTACGGTCTTTTCCGCCGCGGGCGCATTGCAGAGCGAGACCGCCATCGTTACTGGTGGTTTACATACCACAATATGGAGAACACGGGAGAGCAGTGATGGAGAGTCTCGCTGGCTGGCTGCCAGGTGGCTGCCACAAGAAGTCGAACAATCACGAGTCACTTAGGTGAGAGATGGGTGAGGGCGTGATCAATACGCGGCAGGCGGCTTAGGCCCGTCTTCCATCGCCGGGTTCACGGCGGTTTGTGGAACATCTGAATGTCTTCCCCTGCCCGCACCAGTCGGGACGGGACTCAATGGCCTCATCAACCCGACGTTGACCACCACCAATTTTATCTTTAGAGAGCTTGTGACCGCTGACGCCCGCCCACGCCTCCGCAGTTGTCATCCGGCGCATAATGCCTGGTTTGCCCCAGCATCGCGTCTGACTCCGACAGAGGCGTGGCCACACGGCGCAGTTCGTGCGTGTCGACATTCATGCCATTCTCCTTCTCATTCCCAGGGACGCCGCCCGCCATGTGATCATGCTGGGCCCCCAGGAACGGCGAGGGTGCGGCTCCAACACCGCTAGTATGCTGAACATAGGTGTGCAAGTCGCTGGGCCTCTTTCCGACACGTGCGAGCCACTGATTCGTCGGCGCCAACTTGTCGCACTCGCCAGGATAGTGGATTTCTCCCAGCAGTCGACCCGACGACAAATGAAAGAGATAATGCCGCACCCGTGCTGGCACTCCTTTGCCCGCGAGGACAGATAGCAGGGCAGCCAGGAGCACCACGACGAACAGCAGCAATGCGAGGAGAGCAGGAATGGCAAACGGCCAGTGATAGCGGATCTGTCGCTCATAGATGGTCACAGGAACCAAGGGCTGGCCGGTTTCGCCACTGCTGGCGCTGGCGGCGTCGCGTTTCTGAAGATTCGGAGGTAATCCGTTGCCGGAGTCCCAACTGCGGGTGCCGACGAGCATGTTCGCGGCCAGATCAGTCCAGATCAGGTTCGGGATCGTGCCCATCGCCGCAGCCGAAGTCGAGTAATCTCGCCATCTCTTATACATGGCCATGTTCGTCCCTCCACTATAGTCGGCATAGTCGCCGTTGCTGGAGGTTTGAAAGATTCCTCCCATGATACTGGCCAGTCCCTCGTGTGCGGGAAGGTTATCTTTGGTGGCGACGGCCGCAGAGAGGATACCTGAGCCCCCGTACCCTGGAATATAGAGATGAGGAGCCCGAATGGTTGAGAGATTGACCGAGTTGGCAAGGTCGGGCGCGATGAGCCCCCAGAGCTGAGACACATCTTGCAGCTCGTAGCCCGGGGTCTCGACTCCCCACAAGGGCATTGACTCCTTGTCGGGATATGCCTTGTCGCTGACGTTGACGACTGTCAAGGATTTCAGCGTATTTCCCGTGAGGGAAGTGGTATTCCAGCGAAATCGGACCTCTTTGATAGTCGCCTTCATCGCCGTGGCACAAGTGTACACCTTTTGTGTCCACCACGTTTCCGGCTCCAGCACCAGTGATTTCGAGCCGTCCCTCCGCTGCGCCGCTCCGTAGATCATGCCACATTCGACATGGACGTTGGTCAGGTTTGCCAGATCACGGCCTCCTGCTCCGGAGCACAGCGTGGCGATGTCGCTGTAATTCATGAAGCTGAGGCCGAACGGGTTTGAGTAGTTGGTGTTCGGTGCATCGTCCAGCGTGTAGTTGGAGATATAGGCCTCGGGGTCAAGAAGCGACTGCCACAGGTTGGTGGCGTAGATGCCATTCAACTTGGCGCCCGGTGTTTGGTACTTGTTGACGGGGTGCCGGTCGCCAACCTTCGACTTCATGTAGCCGAAAGCATCGGGGTTCGGTCGAGTGAGGTTCATGACCAGCATTGTGTACACGTTCACCAACCAGGCGGCTTTGTAGGCGCGGCCCTCCAAGTTCGGGTCATTCTGAGCGTTTGTCACGTTGATATATGGGTATTCTTGCACCAGGTTCGCGAAGCCGCCGTTGTCGACGAGTGAGATGTTGGCCAGGTCGGTGAGGACGGTGAAGCCGTTCCCCAAGGGAATCCTGAACTCGACTGAAATGTTCGTGTCGGCGCAAGCTGTCTCCGGCTCAACCCACAGCAGATCCTCCGTCCATTCAGCACCCAAAGAAATGCCCTGGGGAACGCTATGATTTCGGAAGGCGATGCCACCTGTCACTGTGTCGACGACAAGACCTTCCACCGGTTCGACCGCATTGTTCAGCACCATGTTTGACAAGTATCGAAACGCCCCCGCAATGTACTTGGCTCCATGAGCGACCCCAGTCTGGATCGTGTATGTGTAGTAGCGCGCCTGTATGTCGAAGAAGCTCGAGACAGACTGCGGCTGCTGTTGCAGTCCGCTCTGGTAGAGCTCGGCCAGCACTCTCGGTATCCGCGTGTCATAGTCATCGTTTGTGATATTGGCCTCTGCATAAGTGGCGTTTTCGAAGTACGTGATTTCGACCGTCGTCCCCGGGCACTGGAGGGGGAGGAGGTTCCCGCAAGTGCGAGTAAAACCCAGGTCACTGCGTCCAGGTGTGCCATATCCCATCGGCCCCGGGTCCTGTACGTACGCGAAAGCAACACTCTGCGGCGTTTTAGAGGGCACGATGTCGTCGTATAGCCCCAACGGCGTCACAACCGCGGCGATCGCCACGAGGCCGAGAGCCAGTGGGCGCATCCATGTCATCAATCTGATCGTGGTGTCGACACCCCGGGTGGCAGCTGCATCGGTCCGGAGGAACATAGGCCTGTCGCCGTCAGAAAGGCCATGCAATCAAAGGGCCAGGCTCAACATACCACATGGAGCTCAGCAGGTTGCGCTCCACCACAGACCAGGTCACGGCGCTGTGTTCATTCTTGAGGTAGCCCACCAGGACAAGAATCAGGGCATTGGGTAGGAGGAATTGAAGGATGAATATCACGGCGGCGATGATGCCAGAAACGTAGCCGATAGTGATGGAAATCATCGGGTCGGTGTTGCAGCTGTACGGGAAGTGCTGGGTGTTGGAAGACGATCTCAATATGTGCCACAAGCCACTCCCTCCATAGGAGACGTGACTCTACGACGGTTGGACGACGTGCACGACAGACAGGATAAGATGATACAGAGCAACGCAACATCAAGGGGAGGATCTGAAGGAGGGGAAAGAGAGAGCTATACTTGCCTGGTGGTCGAGACAACATCTGCTGCCTCCAGCATGGAGTACACGCGACCCATTGTCGACCTGCCAGACTGGGCTATAGGATAAGTAACACCTGTGCCTGGGTTGGGGCCAGTGCAAGTCGAGGAGGACCTTGGAATACGCTGAATACGAATGTTCGTGCGACACTGCGTTTAGTCAAGGGCCACTTCGGGTTTCTCATTCGCCATGACAAGGTGTCTGACAGGGATCAGCAAGCTTGCACCGGGCATTTACCAAAATTTGAGCCATATAAACAACAACGCCGGTCGAGAGTTTAGCAGAGGAACCGGTACAGAACCACGCCAATGGGAAAGGTCGGGGACGCAAGGCTGTATTGGGGGCCAGTCTGTCGTCGCTCTTCCTGGTGTGTCTATCGAGTGCTCTGCTAGGGGTAGGGATGCAGCACTGTACCGGGTAGGGGCCATCTGCAGTCTCCAGCGCCAATAGGTGGCTCCCATCACCATCTTAGCCAGCGGCGAGAGACCAACGGGGAGCCACCAGCAGACAGTCTCAAGCGACATCGGGGACCTTGCAGGGAGCACAAGACCAGCAGAGTTGAAACACCAAACCGGCCAAAGACGCTATGCGCGAATGAAAGGCGGCGATCGTCCGCCTGGACCGCCCCTTGATCTCCCGAATACGAGGCCGACCAGGTCTAATTCTGGCTCTCCGCAGGCTATGTGGGTACAGTAGCCGGATTGATATCAAGCTCGCAAGCTTGTCACTTCAAATGGTGGGGATTCTTAAGCAGCATCATCATCAAGAGCCTACACAGAAGCCGGCCATTTCCAACAGTCACAAGTCTTGATGCTGTTGCGCTATAGCACTCCTTTGAGGCCATCAGTCGCGGCCACTACAACGGCCCATTGGGATGGATCAACACCTTGGTGTAGCCGTCGATTCTCTTGTCGAACTTGTCGTATGCGACCTCCGCGTCCTCGATGCCGATCTCGTGACTGACCACAAACGATGGCTTCGCCTTCCCGGCGATGATCAGATCACGTAGATATCTGTTGTATTGTTTGACATTGCATTGGCCCTGTGAGTTGTTAGCTTGCAAGACCGGCGTGATATCGAAGGGAAGACCATGACGAGCTTGGAAGAGTACTCACAGTGGCGAGGGAAAGACCCTATGGCAGAATTTAGCATCAAGACAGGCACGCCATCGGTTGACCAAAGTAGGTATTGCTCACCTTTTCAAATAACTTGCCGAAGCTCAAACTGATCTTGCCCTTGCCGCTCGCCTCATCTGGCGCGCCAGGGTCCGTTGGGACGTAGAGGCCGGGAATTCCAAGGCCACCACATGGCCTTGTCGCTTGGATCATGTTCTCCAGAACAATATTGGGCTGCTCCTTGTCGCCACCGGTGGTCACAGCCTGATATCCCACAGCATCCACAGCCCTGTCCAACATGCCGCCGTTCTTCTCAATGATCTGCTCAACGGCGTCGCCTTTGCTGAAGTCAATGGGTATGCAGCCAATCTTCTCCGCTGCTTGCAGACGCTCGGGCACTCTGTCAACCACGTACACCCGACTCGCGCCCCTCAGTGTAGCTGAGTATGCGGCCATCAGCCCGACAGGCCCTGCACCCCAAACCCCGATACTCTCGCCCGGTTTGAACCCACTAAGAGAGACACCGTGCCATCCCGTGGGGAAGATATCTGCCAAGAGGATAAAGTCCTGCTCGTTCTCGGTTCCGGGTGGCAGCTTCAGGGCGTTGAAGTCGGCGTACGGAATGCGGATGTACTGAGCTTGCCCTCCTGTGCGTGACTGTCAGATACCATGGGGTATAGTATCGCGCCACTTCCTTACCTCTGTAGGGGCCCATAGCAACATAACCATAAGCTCCTCCAGCGAAGCCTGGGTTGACACCCGTGCAGAACGCGGTCTTGCCCTCTTCGCAGTTCCGGCATCTTCCATCTGCGACGTTGAAAGGCATGACAACTCGATCTCCTTTCTTCAACAGAGTGACGCCCGAGCCAAGCTCCTCCACAATTCCCATGTTCTCATGTCCTGTTCGTCAGAAAGGTTAGCGTACGGTAACTGCGCTGTTTCCTAGCCGGAGACCAACCAAACGTGATGCCTGCTTCAGCACCGGTACGTCCCTCGTACTAGAGTCGCATCAGTGTGAGACGCCGAACATCATTTACTCGTGGTGGGAAGGCTTACCATATGCAGGTCGGAGCCACAGATAGCTAGTCACATCCATTACCGCCAGTTAGCAATGTGCTCACCACCACAGAGGAGCTATAGTCGCCGTCGGCTTCGAAAGCCAGGTCTTGGCCTGCCACTTACCAGCCGTAGTGACCTTGACAATGACATCGTCGGGGTGCTCAAGGGTAGGCTTGGGAACATCCTCCACCTTTACCTTGAAAGCACCTTGGTAGTTGACGGCCTTCATCGTCGCCCCACTCGTTCTCACTTCCGTCGTCGACATTGCGAAGGCAGTAATCGGCTGTCCCGGAGTAGGCTTGTGTCGGTTAGCCGTATGATTGGCTCAAAGGGGGCTTGCTCGTAAGGCTAGTCCAGGTAATTCCAGATACCACCAGATGGAACGAGGAAGACAAGAGGAACTATTCTCCCAGCTTCAGCTCACCCAGACCTATATACTGCCCCTCCCTCTCAGCTCACCCACGGCATTTGTCTATCGTGCATAATCGTCCTCGTGGAGCACGTCGCAGCGCTCTCAAGCGACTTGGAAAGCGGAGCAGCCGGGTATCCTCTCGTGCTTCTGGCGCTTCTGATTGTCCGATAAGATGGGGTAACCTGAGGAAAAGTGGCGCTCGGTTTGGCCGCGCAGACGGGCCTGCCAATACCTCCTCATCCATTTTTGCGGGGTAGGAAGTACATCACCATGTCACTTGTCCAACGGCTGACGAGCGAAGCCAGAACACGAGGGGCTGTGGCCCTCCCTGCCCTACCATTTGGACACGAAAGAGAGGGGCCTCAGCAGAGCCAGATGAGAATGCCTCGTCCTAATTGGATGCATGTCGCTTGCTCACACAGAAAGAAGGAATCATCGAATCACCCTGCAGCTGATCAGAAGACCTTGTCCGTGATGCCGGACAAACGCCTGCTCACCTGTGTCTCTTTCCTGGACATTTTCGGTCTACACAGCGCCTACTCGGGCAGTAAGAGACCGAGATCGTCTACCTTTTGCGGGAAAAAGAGAGCGAAGCGCATGACTCCAGTCACGAAAGCTGATTTGAATTCTTTGTATTGGGCCTAGAAGACGGTCGATGTACATTGGCATGCGTGGCCGAGCTTCAATAAGGAGGTCGTTGGAGGCCGTGGCTGCCCCCGTCTCTGATTGTTCCATAGTTCCTCCTTCCAAGCGTTCCTCTCCACGCCCGAGCCGAGAACGATAGCCTGAGAACGCACTGCCGAAATGAACGCCTCTACCGAATGCTGGGTGCGCAGTGCTGGGTACAAGTGGAGTGCTGAATCGAGTGGCTAGGGGTTACATGACGGTGCATCTGATCGTGGTGGCGCGGAATTTTAGCAATCGTGCTGGTGATGGATGGAAAAGCTGTGAAGTTGGCGGTGGGCGAAAGGATACCGGGGTGCTGTAAAGGGGCTTCGGGGTGTGTGCTCAAAGTCAGCAAAATGCGTAGCTTGAAGATGTCTCTCGACGACTCGGCGCTTTGGGACAGCCCCGTTTGTATGTGTCCCAGCGCCCGTCACGTTGGGGTGATAAGCTCGGCGACATCGTCCGTGCTCATCGTGGGGAGCGGAGGTTGCAAAGTCTGCGCGTGAGGCTTCACATCTCCCATCGGGCCAAGAGTCCTCTGCTTTCCATTTCCATATTCTACATGTCCATAGAGTCGTTGCCGTTAGCGAAGTTGAATTGTCCCTGAGGTTGGTTCGATCCAAGGGTGAAGCCAGAGGCATTGGCTTGTGGGGCCAATTCTTCAATGTCGGCGCCTGCATCCTCTTCGTCCGAGAAGTATCGCTCTATGATGTTGTAGGCTTTCATGTAGATCTCCTCATTAGCGTTGTTCTGGCAATCGTGGATCTTCTCCATTCCACCAGCCTCTTCAATGAATAGGGCGTAGCGATTCACCTGAGCCTCAGGGGCTCGCGCATCGGCCGCCTCTTTGTCCATTTCTCCGACCTTGAGGATGTTTTCCAGGCCGTCCAGCGCAACCTGTATGATCTTATTGTCGGGGCAGGCCAGCAGATCGCAAAGAGGCTTGATGCAACCTTGTGCGACGAGGTATCTAATCTGATCCGGCTTCTGGAGACCGCCCGAGGTGGCGTTCGAAATGGCCCAACAGGCTTCCTTTCGAGTTTTGAAGTCACCATTGGAGAGAAGATGGATCAAGGGGGGAATAATGCCAGCATCAATCACTGCTTGAATCTGGGTTGAATTGCCGGCGGTGATGTTTGAGATTGTCCAACATGCTTCCTTGCGAATTCCGTCTTTTTGCGAACTGAGCAGCGACAGCAGAGCGGTAAGAGCCCCACAGTTGATTATGACCTGAGTCTGCACATCATCTCCGGTAACAATATTGCCAACTGAACGAAGAGCGGGGGTTTGGACGGAGGTGGAAGCATGCATGAGGAGCTCAACAAGGCGTCGGGGAATGCCGGCTTCGATGACCGCTTGGATCTTATCGTTCGAGCCATCGGAAAGGTAAGAAATGGCCCAGCAGGCATCAATGAGGACTTCGTCATCTAGCATGTAGACAAGCTTGGCCAGGACAGGGAGCGCAGGTTGGATCTAATGGCGTGTTAGCAAAGGTTTCTTGCGGCACTCTGTCGTGTCACTCACGGTCGGCCAGTCTGGCTGAGGGGCCTTGCCACGGCAGAAGTTGCTCAGCGTCCAGGTAGCATTTCGCAGCATGCTCAATTTGCGGCCATCGGCGATCAAGTTGAGAAGAGGTTTGAGAGCTCCTTGGCCGAGAACATAGTCCCTGCATGCGGGAGAGTCTCCGGCAATGTTACCCAGAGCCCAGACAGCCTGCTCACGGACATCTGGCTCAGGGCTGCTCAGGAGCTCGACGAAGATAGGAACCGCGCCTGCCTCGATAACAACCTGTGTCTGTTGAGCACTACCGCTGGCGATGTTGGTGAGCGCCCACGCTGCCTCAAACTGCACAAGGGTATGTGGTGACCGGAGGAATTCGACAAAGCGGCTGACCACACCAGTCTCAATGACTTTCTCGATGGGAGGGTTCCGTTCCTTGGACAGGAGTTTCCGGAATTTGGTGGTGGCCTGAATCTGAGCGTCGATCTGGTCTGAGAAGACTCCTTTGACCATTTCAGGCAACTCGGTGCTCAACTGTAAACATGGTTCGATCAGAATCTCCGTGAACGGGAAGAGGTGGTCAATCATACCTCACTCTCAATGTTGGCCGTCTCGTCATCGCTATCAGGCTCTGTGAGGCCGCCGATGGTAATTTCGCCATTTCCACGCTGAACACCTCTTCGCTTCGCTAGATTTTCTTCTCTCTTCTGGCGACGGATCTCGACCTGTTGCTCTTCTCGGCGGCGGCGCAGCTCATCAGGCTTAAAACTGTTCTTGGCCTTGAACTGGGTGCGGCGATGTTCGGGAATGTATCGTTCCGCCATGTTTCAGGGATATCGGCAGGGCGTAAACAACGATCAGGATTTGCGAAAGCTTGTCGTCAGGGTTGAAGCTGTGCTAAAAGGTATCGCAAGCAACGGAATCTGAATAGTCAACAAGCGTCTGGCAATGCAGAGACTTGGGGCGGTCAGTGATGAGACTGCGCCGCGGTGAACAAAGAATGAGGATCAAATAAAATGGGGGTGTCGCAGATTCGCAGGTTGAATATCGTAGTCGCCCGTTAGTCACCCTCCAGGGAAAGCACATGCCACTTTATCTTGGCGTTGATCACGTGAGTGCGTGTTTCTCCAATGCGCGTCCCAGGCGCTGGCCTTGACGCGTCCGTCAATGGTGTCTTCAACTGTGTTCTCCCAGACCGGAGATATCGACTGCTGAACAAACCAGGAAGCTCGATTGAGACGCCACTACCTTCTGACACCCACTGGTACAGCCTCAATAATATCCCGTCGTTCTCCTGAAGTTGCCTGTGCTGAGATTGGCCCTCACATCTGAGTAACCGAGCATCATCTGAATGGCATGATACCACCATGGCATTAGACTATGTCGCTCCGCCCCCAGGCTTCATGGATCTCGCCAACGCTAGCCGGATCCCATCAGGCCAGTCATTCAACGTTATTGGGGTCTGTGTTGAGAGCCTTGACCCTATCCAATGCAGGACCGGGCAATACAAGATCGCATTCACATTACATGATCCCACGTGGTTGAGTGGTGCGGGCATGGAATTCTCGTTCTTCGCCAAATCTGCAGACCAACTACCTGTTGTCAGCGATCAGGGCGATGTCGTCATCCTCCGCAATATCAAAACAATGATTCATAAAGGTCTGAACAAGGGCCTATCAAACTTCTCATCAACCTGGGTTGTGCTTCCGTATGTTGAGGTAGCGAACATGAATTCTCCTCGGGACCTGAAGGAAAAGGCCCGATGGCGGAAAGATGGGCGAGAGCCCAATTCCCAGTATTCCAAAGGACCGCCAACGGCTCTTCTGACCGAAGCTGAACTCAAGTACGCCAAATGGATTGCTGAACAGGAAGATCCCAGTACCTGGCCCCCAGTACGAGGGAGGACGCAGATAGACGTGGCAAACACCATGGTAAGCAATGGCGGCGCCCGTCCGCCGGCCAAGGAGAAGCTCAAATTGCTTCAGGACCTCGAGTTGCACAGCGACAACGCCCACATCTTTGCAGACCTACTGGGAGAAGTGCGCAGAATCTACAGCAACGATTTCTTGACCGAGCTATATCTGACCGACTATACGAGTAATAGCCAGCTCTACAACTACAAATTCTCCGTCCATGAAGAAGGGCGGACGGGTGACCCCTATGGCTACCTTGATGTGGATCCGAGCGCGTGGCCCGGCCCTTGGGGCCAAATGACAATGGCTGTCCGATGCAGAGACGGTCAGAGCCATGTTGCCAACACAAAGGTGAAAGTGGGCGACTTTGTCTACCTGCGCAACATCCAAATCAAAATGGACAAGAACAGGGGGAAGCTTGAAGGCAACTGTCGAGATGATCCGAAGTACCCAGAAAAAGAGCTGATCGAGGTGATCAAGGCCAAAGATGAGCGGCGGATTGATGTCTTGCGGCGGAAGCGGGCATATGAGGAGAAGGCAGAAGCCAGTGGCATCAAATTTTACCGGGACCCAAACCAGGCACGCAAAAAGCGGCAAAGAGAGGAGCCCACCGAAGAACAGAGCGGTGAGCTGATAACCAAACGAAGCAAGAACAGAGCCCGGAAGAACAGGAAAGCCAACGAGGTTGAAGCACAGGCGAAAAGGATGACGGCAGCCGGGTCTGCTGAGCAAGAGCGTCCTCTCACACTCAATCCATCCATCCGAATCCACAACCATAAAGGACTGCTGTTTAAGTCAATCGTCGACATTCTGGACCCGGACATCCTAAATCGCACAACCCCTAAGGGAAATCCATATCGGCTACCGTTTCAGAATTGCACATATAAATCGAAAGTCAGGGTGGTTGATTTCTTCCCCGACAACGTTGCCGATTTTGCTGCTCCACGCCAGGTATCGCAGTATGATGAGCTGGATGATCACAAGTCCTCTGACGATGATTCCGACCTCGATCTGACACAAGAAGAGAGCGGTGACGAGATCAAATGGGAATGGCGATTCTTCCTCCTTGTAGAAGACTCGAAGCCACAGCCGGGCTGCCAGGGACGTCCGACGCAGATGCAATTGCTCGTGGCCGATGACGACGGCGATTGCCTCTTCAACATGGACGCTTGCGATCTCAGGGACAAGAAGAACGAGACTGCACTGGCGTCGCTGAAAGAGAAGTTGTTCCACCTCTGGGGAGACTTGCAGGAGAAGAAAGAGGAAGCCCAGAGCACAGCGGAGGCGCTCAGCGTGAAACCCAGTGCCCGGCCCTTTGAATGCTTGATCAAGGAGTACGGAGTGCCAGTCCGAGGCTCCAAAAGCCGTCCGACCGATGTCATGGCCTATGATAGATTCTTCCGTCTATTCGGGACGGCGATCTAAAGCTCGACGTTATGGGCCGCGCGATGTCGAGGAGAGCGATCGGTTGCAGCGTACAGATATTGTCTCTAAGCCACAAGGGTTCCAAAGTCTAGTCTTGCTGCCGTGTCATTCATACAGTAGCTAGGTGCATTCTGAGTAGGTACGGTTGACGACTGACGTCGCCCCTAACATCATGCTCTGGGGCTGTGCTGACGACTCGATGCGCATTCTCCCCCTTGATACCCTGCGTACCCGTACGAGGACCCCGTTAGGCGCGTTCTTTGCAAAACTGCGGTCCGATCCATGCGAGCAAGTTGGTTCGATCGACCGATCACGATCCCCCGAAGCAAGCCAAGCTCTCCGCCACGAGAAAGCGGCCGAAAGAGGACGTTGCTGCCAGCGCGTACGACGCCACCCGAACTCAAAAGGAAGGAGACGAGAGAGGGAGAGAGAGAGAGAGACGGGTGGTTCTGCCCCACCGTGCATGAACACGAGTACTGAGTATCTTGCTTGCACGCATGCATGGCGTTGCATGGTATGAGAAGACCCTCCAGCGAACCAGTCCTCGAAGCCCAGAAAGGATTGACAACCGTGACAACCCGAGAAATCGATACGGATTCACATGCATGCATGCTTGTGCGTGCGTGTGCGTGTGCGTGTGCGTGTGCGTGTGCGTGTGCGTGTGCGTGTGCGTGTGCGTGTGCGTGCGCGTGTGCGTGCGCAAGTGTGCATGGTCGAACATGCAAACGATCAAACGTCAGCCCATTCCACTTCGACTTCTTAGGGGCCCAGGGATGTCGTTGGGACGTTGAGATTCTTCCTTTTGCTTCCACCACGTTACGGGTGTCCTACCCATGCTCGAGTCTTGCGTGAGGGCTAGTGCTGCTGTAGCTCCACAGGGAGGATCCTCGCGCTCGTCACAGCCTGGACACGCATCATTCGTCGGATGCGAGCAATAAATTGAGCTCCGTACGAGTAGCTCTGTGCCTGGTACCTTGCCGAGAAGTGGAGGCTTTGCTTCGCCACGGTCGACGTTCATTGACAATTCGATCGGCGCAGAAAAGGAGAGGAAGGGCGGGAGCAAGCTCGAGGTGGATTCGTCACAAGAAGGGCGACTATGTCCGTGTGGAGATACACAGTAAAGGAATGGGTATACAGTACTCGTAGGAGGTGTCTATAGGCGCTCAAAGCCCCTTGAGCGAGACAAACGCAGCAGTGTCGTTGTTGCCCGCGCACGTCCGCGGCATCAAACCACGATACTGGGCCACCAGGGGGTTGGAAAGAGATATGATAATATACTGGGTACGGTCTCCCCACGAGTACGAGTACGAATCGTAGGAGGCATCCAAGTGAGAAATCCCCAGAATAACTCCGTGGAGTGTCCGAATGGATGGATATTGCAAGCGGTTCTATTCCGCGTCCCATCTGCTGTACGGAGTATTCTGCTCAGCTATCATCACCACACCCGCAGTCACACAGAGTGCTCTTCACGATTTTCAATTGTGGAGCGCAAATCTTGATCACACAGCACTGCAGGGCGGTGGAGACGCTTTGTCGCGGATAGTCGTCGCGGACCCAAGCGACCTCGCCACCAGTCTTGTCGGCTTGTCCGCAGGCTGCACTGTTGCCCGCATTCTGCATGAAAAGGACCTACTTACCCCGTCTACGACTCACGGGACATATTTAAGCAGTACAAGATGCGCTGTGCGAGTACATAAAAGCAACGGTGCCGTTGTTCCATAGGTAGCCGGCCTTCCGACCGAGGAGATGTCGAGTCAGCCACGCGGGTTAAAGTTCGTAGATGTTGTCTGGACCTCTTGGACCGGCCCATCGACGAGTCGACGACACAGCCCGAGTTAGGGGAGCGGACCCGTTCGACCCTCTCCGTTGTTCAGACCCAGCCCTGTGCATGCACGCAGCCGATCTTTCCGTATAGGAGGACATGGGGCTTCGGGGTTGTGACGGCGCACGTTGGCATTTGGGTGGCGGGACCCTCGCCCGGAAGAGGGTGTCGAGGGGAGAACTGTACTGCGTACTGAGTACCACAGTATCTCGTGCAATTCTGCGGATGTACTGTGTAGCAGGTACCATGTACGGTGACTGACTAATTCATCTTGGTTGAGACTCGGACACAACTCGGGTTGAACGGCATCTGAGTGCCTCATGCGTGCCTCGCGCGCTGCGGGATGCCGACACCGATACAGTAACTAGGCCTCGCCGTAGAACTAATGTGCCCCTCCATTCACGTGAATGTGATGGGGAAGTGAATGTTTGGACTGGACACATTCCATTCTATTTACAAACAATGTTGGACTATGTGCCTAAGGCGAAGGCTACTTTTACTGGCGTGTTTTCGCATGTGATCGAGAAGTGACGCTGGATCGAGCCTACACTAACACCGCCGATGGCATCCTGCCACTCAGAGTCTATCAGAGTCAAGAGAAGGACATATACTTTCATGTGCCCCGATTGTCGGTCGCAGAATTTGTTCGGAGCTGGCGATCTCGAAGCTAGTGGCTGCTGCCCTGTAGGTATGATCCGCAAGCTGCACCTCTGAAGAGCCATTTGCTCTAGATGTGCGACGTCATGGTGCTGCTCGATCTGTGAGCGGACGCAACAACCGATGAGGATTGTTGTGAATTCTCTGTTTCTGGTCAAGCAGGGATGTTCGTGAAGACGTCATGGCGGCCTGTGAGGCTGCACAGAATCAGCCGCTGATGCGTGCTGGCGTCGTGGAACGTGGAGGTGAACGGGTCGGTAGAAAGTCTGAATAAACGCAACAAGCATGGCATTTCGGATCCATCGAGATGCATGATATGCCATTTACCATCCCGCTTCATACGAACGACAGGCTTGTCACAAGCATTAGTGCCGTGAGACATTTAGACCTGCTGGTTGTCGGACACGGGGAAGCCAAAGAGCGGCGAAGCCACCCACGAAATAATATATGCGATGTGCTTCGTACATGGTATAGCTGTGGGCGCTGCGGGTACCCGTACATGTCGCCTCCAACACACCATGGCAAGCTTTGGGCTCTCGATCAAGGTAGCTCATGCAAACCTCGTTCCGTTGCAGTGGCTAATACAGAGAGAGCGGACCAATGGTAATTGTTGTACGTAGCGTCCGCTTGACAGCGTCGAAAGAGAGTTTTCGCAGCTGCTGTCAGCAAATTGTCTTTGAGGTACGAGTCATCCAAGCCCGTGGTCTCGGTGCAAACGTAATCTTGCGAGTACGTACCGGTCAGCTGGTCATACCTGACCATTGTGTAAGAAGTCTGAAGTTGCTATATCGGGACCGAGTAGGGGACAACGTGTCCTCAAACGGGTAGACCGCGTGGCGTGGTAAACCCAAACCGTGTGTTTGGTCCCGGTCAAGTATCACACCATGTATACGGGTCGAGGTTGAAGCCGCCTCAGCAGTGCCGGGATCAGGCCCTCTACCACCATTTAGGCACATTTCGCTCAAGATTGAGAGGTCTCGGCGCTTCGCGATCATTTGTTCTCAAGACCACGTAAGACCTTGCGCCTTGATGGCTCAGCATGTACGGAGTACAAGACAGGAGCTTCCACAGAGTATCGCTACAGCCCGTCGGCATGTTTCTTAGGCTTACGGCACCTCTGGAACACTCGTGAGTATTCACCAAGTCAATGTCAGACCCCGGATCCTGCTCCTATAGCGTTATGGCGGTGCCGCAGTTTTCGAATGCTTGCTTCCCGTGCTGAGTATCTTCCGGCCTTTCATTCGATCCATCGACGAGCCACAAAGGATTCTAGGCCCGATATCGCTAAGCAGCACAATGCCATCCCGGGTGCAAGGGTGTGACCGCTGATTGTGGGGATGGCGTGCGTTTGACTTTGCCGATTGCAGCGCATTGGCCTCATGACCACCCCAGATTTGCGCCCGGTTGCGGAATGGCGTCGACGCTCAGACCATCCCTTCTCATCAAGCGCCCCTCGCCGGGGCGATACGAATTCGAAAAGGATTTTTCGGATGGCCATAGCCTACAGACGACATTGCCAGAGGCTGTCACGGCAGACACTCAGCCAACCTGAGGACCTATAGATACATGTTATTCTGTAGTAGCGGCGAACATTGCTCGTCTGAACGGAACGTTAGTACCAGTATTTCAGCGATATGTCGTCGATAGTGCGTCGGCACAGGGTCCATATCCCAGCCCGCGCCAGGGTGTAACACCCCGTCATGTTGATAGCTGTACACAGTCTCCACTGTTAACGGTCGCTGTCTTGAGGTGAAGCCGTTGGAAAGTGAACTCGACCAGGTCATTTATCTTGAGTAAACTCTCACATCTCGGCTCTCTCAGCCCGATTCTGCTCCAACCGCTCATGAGCAACTATCACGCCGAAGGCAGCAGTGCTAAATCCGCAACCGCAGGAATGCATCAGAGTGACAAGCGCCGGCGACAATTGGTCTCAACATTCAAGATTTGGAAACCACCCCGCCAGCCGGACCGTGGGTACTGTGTACGTTCAAGCATGGTAGCAGGTGCCTGCTCCGAGCTTGGAGCACTGCAACATTAGCGGCGCCAGGGGTTGGAACAAGACGAGTGGATCCGCATCATCCATGCGACGAACGAGCACGGAACGGTCGTAGCGCAGCAGCTTGCACGGCGACAGGATACGAGAACTCGATGAATACCTCGACAGATATTGCTGCGACAGAAGGCAGTCCCCAGAAGTTGATTTTAACAGTCAGTCATCCCACGATCAGCGGCCGATCACAGGGCTATGTGCACCATTCGAGAAGTGTGATGGTCGATGCTTACCTGAAATCCGGGGCAATCAGCAAGCGGACAAAGTGATAGACACCACCGTCCGCGTTGATCTCAGAACCTGGGTATGAGGTGCATGGCGGTTCAGTCTAATAAGGGACCACTCAACGACAATTCCCCAGCCCACCGACCCACTGGACTCGCGATCCCGGAGAAAATTTGGCTTCGAGTGACTCGAACTTACCTATTTCTATGCGAGCAGGGTGGTTCCTGTACGCCACACGTCCAGCAT